AGCTGCTCTTGTAGAGGACTGGGGTTTAGTTCCCAGCACCTACAGAGCAGCTCACACTCATCTGTAACTCTAGTTGCAGAGGATCCAACAGCCAGACACTATAGCGCAAATTCTAATTGGTTTTAGTAATAAAAACCCAGAGTCAGAGACAGGCAATGGTGGTGCATTTAATCCCAGCACTCAGGAGGCAGAGGCAGGCAGATTTCTGTGAGTTTGACCTGGTCTACCAAGCAAGTTCCAGGACAGCTAGGGCTGTTATACAGAGAAACCCTGTACCAAAGAGAGAGAGAGAGAGAAAAAAAAAGAGAGAGAGAGAGAGAGAGGTAAAAGAAAAAAGAAAGGAAGAAAATGTCAGTGGAGAAAGAACACCTCTGGACATTTTCCCCAGGTTATACAAATGGCTGATAAGCACATGAAAACTTTCAATATTACTAGCCACTAAGAAAATGTAAATCAAATCTACAATGAAGTGGTACATCTATTAGAATGGTTACTATGAAAAGAACAGAAAATACATGTTGATGAATGTTGGGAAATATTACTGTAAGGTGTGTTGCTTTTGTTTATGTCGCATTTGTTTACCTCTGTGAAGCTGTTGATGCTTTGCTGATGAACATCTGATGGACTAATAAAGAGCTAAATGGCCAATAGTGAGGCAGGAGCAAGGATAGGCGGGGCTAGCAGGCAGAGAGTATAAATAAGAGAACTCTGGGAAGAAAGAGGAGCAAGAGAACAAGGAGCTGAGGACATCAGGGGTCAGCCACCCTGTTACACAGCCAGCCATGGAGTGAGAGTGAAAGTAAGATATACAGAAATAAGAAAGATAGGGGGCTGGAGAGATGGCTCAGAGGTTAAGAGCACTGCCTGCTCTTCCAGAGGTCCTGAGTTCAATTCCCAGCAACCACATGGTGGCTCATAACCATCTGTAGTGAGATCTGGTGCCCTCTTCTGGCACGCAGGCATACATGCTAGCAGAACACTGTATATAATAAATAAATCTTTAAAAAAAAAAAGAAATAAGAAAGATAAAAGCCCAGTGAAAAAAGGTAGTCAGGATAATTTAAGAAAAGCTGACAAGATAGCTGGGTGGTGGTGGTGGCACACACCTTTAATCCCAGCAGGCGGATCTCTGTGAGATCGAGGCCAGCCTGGTCTACAAGAGCTAGCTCCAGGGCAGGCTCCAAAGCTACAAAGAAACCCTGTCTCCTGTCTCAAAAAACCACAAAGAAGAAAGGAAGGAAGGAAGGAAGGAAGGAAAGAAGGAAGGAAGAAAGGGAGGAAAAGCTGACAAGAGGGCTGGAGAGATGGCTCGGGTTAAGAGCACTGCCTGCTCATCTAAAGGTACTGAGTTCAATTCCAGACAACCATATAGTGGCTCACAGCCATCTGGTGCCCTCTTCTGGCCTGCAGGCATACACACAGGCAGAACATATAATAGATTTTAAAAAAGAGATAAAAAACTGGCAAGAAACAAGCCAAGCTAAGTCTGGGCATTTGTAAGAAAGTATAGGCCTCCATGTGATTTATTTGGGAGCTTGGTGCCCCCTCGAAAAAAACCCAAAAGAGTAAAACAAACACAACAGCTGAAGACATGAAATACTTGTTATCCGTTGTTGTTGTTGAGGCAGGGTCTCACAGGATAGCCAAGAATGGCTGGAACTCACCAAGTGGAACGGGCTAGCCTCAAACTTCAATCCTGTTGCCTCAGTCTCCTGAATGCTGGGATTACAAAATGAGCCAAGGTGTTCCCCTTGAATAATTGAAATTCTTCTTTTTTTTTTTTTGCTTTGTTTTTTCAAGACAGGGTTCTCTGTAGCTTTGGAGCTTGTCCTGGAGCTGGGATTAAAAGGCATGTGCCACCACCTCCTGGCTAGATAATTGGATTCTTTTTTTTTTTGTTTTGTTTTTGTTTTTTGTTTGGTTTGGTTTTTTGAGACAGGGTTTCTCTGTGGTTTTGGAGCCTGTCCTGGAACTAGCTCTTGTAGACCAGGCTGGTCTCGAACTCACAGAGATCCACCTGCCTCTGCCTCCCGAGTGCTAGGATTAAAGGCGTGCGCCACCACCACCTGGCGATAATTGGATTCTTATACATTTTGATGGCAATGTAACATTTTATACCTGCTGTTGAGAGCAGCATGATACAGGGAAATGCAAATAACTTCTTTGCTGAGAGTCCATCTCACTCCAGTCAGAAAGGCTACTACAGACAATTACCAACAATGGCTGGCAAGGACTTGGAAAGAAAGGACACCTTAGGTACTACTTATGGGAATATAAACTACTACAGATTGTAATAGATCTGTGTAATGATCTGTCCTGTCCCTTTAAGAGGAAAGCCCTGTCCACTTCCCAAGTGGCTGGAGCGGGCAGCACGCCATGAGACCATGCTGCAGGTCCTGGAGCGGGGGCAGGCAGCGGGCAGGGGGTCTGGAGAGCAGCAGAGCAGCCGGTACCAGGCAGGGACAGTGCATGCAGGTCTCCTAAGGCAGCTGGACCCAGGCAGGGAGCCAGGCGGCAGGTGAGAGACAGACGGATGGATAGGCACGCCATGTAGAATGCGGTTGGATATTTATTTAGTGGGTTATGGAAGGGAAGGAGAAGAAGGAGGGGACAGGAGGGAAGGGGAGGGGAGGGGAGGGGAGGGAAAGGAGAGACAGAAGCTGCTTCTTCTTGAGGGAGTAGGAAAAGGAAGAGACTCAGGCTGCAAGTAGGAAGGAAGATCTGTCTCAGTGGAGGTGGGGGAAGTGGACAGGGCTTTCCTCTTAAAGGGACTGGACAGATCATTACACAGATACTATGGAAGACAGTAGGAAGATTCCTAAAAATATCGTATGATCTAGTTGATCCACTCCTATGTATATTCCCAAATGAATGTCGGTACACGAGAGATAACTACATAATACCCATATTTTATTACAACACTATTCCCAAGAGTCAAGTTATGGAACCCACCTCAACATCCAAGATGGACAGACACACACACACACAATGGGATATTATTCTGGTATTAAGTAGAATGAAATTCGGAGGTAGGGATATAGTTCACCTTGATGTGCTCAATTGGTGGAGTGACTGCCTATCATTTATGCGGCTTCTGGGTTTGATATTCAGAACTGAAAAATAAAGATTTCCAGGCACGGTTACTGTGGTGGTTTGAAGAGTCCTCACAACCTTGGACATTCGAATACTTGTCCCTAGTCTGTGGTTGTCTAGGGAAGACATAGGTGTGGCCTTGTCACTGAAGTGTAAGCTTTAAGGTTTCAAAAGATTCCCACCAATTTGATTTAGTTCAAGGCTTTCTGTTTATGATTAGATATGTGTGCTCTTAGCTGTTGCCCCAGCTGCTGCCTGCCTGCTGCCCTCTGTTCCACCATCACGGTTATCCCTCTGGAACATGATCCACAAACCAACCCTTCTCTAAGTTAACTCGGCTGTGTGTTTCACAATAGAAAGTAAAAGACAACCCATTCTGTATTCTCAGAGCTTCTCCCTCATGAATCCAACTTTCTTTTTTAAGATTTATTTATTGTGTATACAGTATTCTTAGTATTCTGCATGTATGCCTGCAGGCCAGAAGAGGGCACCAAATCTTATTACAGATGGTTGTGAGCAACCATGTGGTTGCTGGGAATTGAACTCAGGACCTTTGGAAGAGCAAGCAGTGCTCTTAACCCACTGAGCCATCTCTCCAGCCTCCTGAATGAATCCAACTTTCTTTCTTTCTTTCTTTCTTTTTTTTCTTTTTTTTCTTTTTGTGGTTTTTCGAGACAGGGTTTCTCTGTGGTTTTGGAGCCTGTCCTGGAACTAGCTCTTGTAGACTAGGCTGGTCTCAAACTCACAGAGATCCGCCTGCCTCTGCCTCCCGAGTGCTGGGATTAAAGGCGTGCGCCACCACCGCCCGGCCTTGAATCCAACTTTCTTAACAACCATTTAAACCTCATTGTAAATTACTCTTTGAACAATTTACCTTAAAAATAGACACCAGTAACAACTCAGAGGCTCCTTCACAAACCCACTGCAAAAACTACTGCACACAGTCCTCCCTTGAAAGGGCAAAGAAAGCCATACTCACACGGTTTTCATCTTGTTCTTCCCCTGAGTATCTATTAACCACTGTGCTTAAGGCTGTTAAAAAGTATTTTTTGTTTGTTTTTCCATGACAGGGTTTCTCTACGTAACAGCCTTTGCTGTCCTAGAATTCGCTCCGCAGACCAGGCCGGCCTGGAACTGAGAGAGAGATCCACCTGCCTCTGCCTCCCAAGTGCTAGGATTAAAGGCGTGCAGCACCACAGCCCGGCTGTTGAAAGTATTTTTAATAAACTCCAATTCTGCTTCATATTGGTTCTTCCTGAAATTCTTTTCTCCAACAAAGTCAAGATTCATGGTTTTGCCTGAAAAAACGTCTCTAAGGGAAAAACTCCTCATTTTGCAGACTGAGTTCCACACATCCTGGGTTTACAGTGTGAGAACCCGTCTCAAAACAAAACAAAAAACAAAAACACGAACATGTTGCGGCTCCTAGCCTGGACTGTGACAAATGCAAACTTTTTTGTTTTGAGACAGCATCTTGCTACTTGGCCCTTCTGCCTTTGAACTCTCAGCAACCTTCCTCGCCTCGACTTCCCGAATACTTAAGTTACACGCACGTGCCGCTAAACCTTCTTTAAACTCAAATTTTCTACTCGCTTGTGGGAGTCTGCGCAGCCACAAAGGTTGGCGTCCGTGTCCGTTTGCTCAGTTGGGAACCAATAAAGTTTAATGTCTTCAAAGCGGGCCTAGCCGTTTAGGCCCTGTTGCGCAATCCTGAAAAAAGAACTGGGTTAGAAACTCGCGCGCACTGCCAGGTCTTCCCGTTCTTCTTAGCAGTGCAATCCTCTCTACTTCCAGAGCTCTAGGGCTGAGGAGAAGGTGTGCGCACGGGGCTGGAGGTGGGGGTAGGGGGTGAGGTCCGGGGGCACTTCCGGTGCTGGGGGACGACGCATGCGCTCCGTTTCCGGTGCATCGGGTAAGGTGGCTGCCGCAGGCTTTGCAGCTAAGGTGAAGTGCCCGCGGTTGGCCCCTGCAGCATGAAGCCCAGGCCTGCGGTGTTCATAGACGGGAAGCTGAAGCAGCGGGTCATTCAGGTGCGTGTGTTTCCCAGACTACCGCGGCTCGGCGTTCGTGCGGTTGCCCGGCGCCTCAGGCCGCGGCTGGGTTCCGGCAGGGTGCGTGGATGTTCCCACCGTGGACGCCTGCCCCGGCCTGCCCTCCTCATCGAGGCCAGGATTCGACCTCCTCTTAAGTCGGGACATGGCTTTTCTTCCAGTGCCCTCGGTGCCCACAATTCAGCGTTAATTCCAGAGCTTGCGGTTACTCTAGGGGAACAGTAAAAAGGGAGCCTGGGTGCTTTTTGCCAGTGTTTTCTTATTTTCGTAGCTGGGGAGCGCTGTGTGGTGATATTAGCCTTTAGTGATGCCCTCAGCAGCACGGAGTTGAGGGGAGGGAGAAATTTTCTTTTTCTTTGGTTTTATTGGGACAGCGTCGTACTGTGTAGCCCAGCCTGGCCTGGAATTCGCTATGTAGAGAAACCAGGCCAGGCTTGAACTCACAGACGTCTCCTGCCTCTGCTTCTCCAATACCAGGTTAATGGCTCTGCCACCACACGTCCTGAAAGGCATGTGTGTTTCTGTTTCTCTCTCTCTCTCTCTCTCTCTCTCTCTCTCTGCCTGTCTCTCTCTGTCTCTCGTTTTTCTGTGTAACCCTAGCTGTCCTGGAACTTGCTCTGTAGTCCAGGCTGGCCTCGAACTCAGATTTCTGCCTGCATCTGCACCGCCACCACCCAGCTATCTTGAATTCTCTATATCCGACTTCCTAGTTATCTCTGCTCACTAGTAGCTGTCTCCAGCCCTAGCTTCAGCTGATAGCTTTGTGAGTGGCAGATGTCAAACATTTGCTGCTTGGTCATGTGTGTTTGAGAACATAGGATGTATAGTAAGCCCTTACTACTTAAGATATTCTAGTGGCTAAGTATGTTAATTAAATCTTCTAAGCCGGTTGGTGGTGGCACATGCCCTTAATCCCTCCCAGCACTCAGGAGGCAGAGGCAGGGAGATCTGAGTTCGAGGCCAGCCTGGTCTACATGGCGAGTTCCAGGACAGGCATGGCTTCACAGAGAAACCCTGTCTGGAAAAAAAAAAAATTAAAAACAATCCAGTTACAGATTGTAATAGTTTTTTTAAAAAATTATGTTTGTGATATGTTTTTATATTTTGTGGTATACTTTATTCCTGAGGAATTTGCATAGAAGTATGTGTTGGAATAATTCAACCTCTGAATTTACTGACAGAAATCATATTTTCTCTTCAGTACCTCACCAGCAATAGATGTGGCAAATACGTGGACACTGGGATCTTAGCGTCTGATTTGCAAAAAATGTACAGGTAAAGAAGTGTACTTCTAAATCCTTGTTTTTTAAATCCCTCTCCCCTTCCATTTTAAATATCTCATTTTATTTAATTTTTCAGTTGATTTCAATATCTGCTGGTGTTATCTTACCAATTCATTAAACCTAAATCCCAAATCAGCTATCCAAACACCTGTAATCATCTACTATATTTAGTGTTGATTCCGTTCCCTGGAGGAAATGGCTCCTTTTTTCCTTTTATTTTCTCTTCAGTTGGCCAGGAGATAGAGATACTGCTATATTACTTCCATTTCTGTTTCATCAGAAAATTAAAAGCTGGTGCGTGTTCTTCCTCAGCTCTCAGACTCTGTCAAGGAATGTGAGTCAGGCCTGGTGGCCATATCTATAAGCCCACCACCTGAAGCTGAGGAAGGAAGATGTCAGGTTGAATTAAAAAACAACAGTTGAATCTCTCAATTTATAAGCTAATTGTATTCCTACAAAGTTCAGTTCTTTTAAAAGTATTCAACATGGGTTTACGTATACAGCAGACAGGTCCCAGCTTAGGTAACTCAACTCGGGTTTTCTCACTGTCACGAATGAATGGCTGAACAACTGAGAGTCTTGAAGGAGCAGTAGGCTTTTTAGGTAGAATTGTTGTTTAAGCAAGAATACCCAGTAACTGTGCCCTCACTCACTGATTCTCTTAATGCTCTCCAGTCTTTGTGACTTAGGAAATGCCCCTCACAGGGTCACAGTTCCCTCTTGGAATGTCACTTCCACCACCATTGAAAACCAGTCTTCACATCAGCCATTGAGCTGGGTGGTGGCGCACGCCTTTAATCCCAGCACTTGGGAGGCAGAGGCAGGTGGATCTCTGTGAGTTCGAGGCCAGCCTGGTCTACAAGAGCTAGTTCCAGGACAGGAACCAAAAGCTATGGAGAAACCCTGTCTCGAAAAAAACAAAAAACAACAACAAAAAAAAAAACCCCAAAAACCACAGCCATTGAAGGGATGTCTTTAGAGAACATATTTATTTAACCTGATCTGACCAATTTCCTTTTTTATACCTGTTAATGCCCTTATTTTGTGTGAGTGGTACTTTCTTTTTTTGTTGTTTTTGTTTGTTTGTGTTGCTTTGCTTTATTTTGTTTTTTGAGAGTCTTAATGTGTATCCCTGGCTGGCCTGGGACTCACTTTGTAGACCAGGCTGGCCTCCCCCTTACAGGGATCTACCTGCCTCTGGGTTTTGTGTTGTTAAGAGCAAGTTTCCTGCAGCCCAACTTGACTTCCAAACTTGTAGCCTAGAGGGGGATGAAAAAGATTAGGGTAGACACTGCTGGAGTGATTACTGTCCTCATGCAGGAGCCAGAAACAAGTAGAAGTTAGGGCAGAGATGCTGGCTTTCATCCTATTCTTAGTTAATAGTCGTGGGTCCAAGTATGGAGTCTCAGTGCTTTTCAGCAAAAACACCTCTCCTTTTTTTTTTTTAACTAAAAAAATTGCCAGTGGGATCGGGTGGTGGAGGCAGAGACAGGTGGATCTCTGTGAGTTCGAGGCCAGCCTGGTCTACAGAGCAAGTTCTAGGACAGGTTCCAAAGCTACAGAGAAATCCTGTTTTGAAAAACAAAAACAAAAAAAATCTCCCAGCATGTTCCCTCTGTGTGTATACATGCACGTGTGCACGTGTACATATGTCATGCCACATCATGCATGTGGAGGTCTGAGGACAACTTTGTGAAGTTGTCTCCTTCTACCCTCTATGGGCTTCAGAGATCAAGTTCAGGTGGTTTAGGCTTATGTGGCAAACAGCCCTACCTGCTGAACCATCTGCTGGCTCTCTCTTTGTTATAGTTGTGCCTGTGTTTTATGCTTTTAGTTAGTCATTTTCTAGTTTATCTTTTATTTATCAGACAAGGGTCTTGTTAGGTATTACTGGCTGTCTTCAAACTCACAGTCCTCCTGCTTCAGCCTCCAGAGTTCAGGGATTGCAGGTGTGTTCTCTCAGGCCTGCCTTTATCTTTTTAATGTTATGTAGCTCTCTTGACTGAGTCCTAACTAAGCACCATTTAGGAAAGAATTAATCTTGGGCTGGTTTGGTTTAGTTATTCTTACCTTATTGTCTGAGATGCTGTTGTGCTCTGATTTCTTACATTTTAATATGCTTACATTTGCTTAATAAAGGCCTCACCACTTCAAGGTCTCCATTTAAATTAAGTACTTTGTTTTCTTGTTTTGTTTTTCTCCTGCCCACCAGTTCCTGAACCACTCACAGGCTTAATATTACTTATAAATGTTTGGCTGATGCCTCAGACTTACTAGTTAGCTCTTATATCTTAAATTAACCATTTTCTATTAATCTATATATTGCCATGTAGCTGTGGTGTTGCCTCATTTTCTACACGTCTTGCTTCCTCATCAGCTGATTGGCGTCTCCCAGACTCCCTCTGCTTGGGTTTCCCATCTGCCCCTATTCTGCTTTGCCATAGGCCAAAGCAGCTTTATTTATCAACCAATAAGAACAATAAGGATTCTATAGTGTGCAAGTTTCGTGGAATATATTTTTGAAAACTGTGCTAAAAAAATTTTTTTTTCCCAGTGTAGATTATGGCCGAAGAAAAAGAAATGCTTTTAGGATTCAAGTAGAAAAAGGTGAGTCTTTCACTGTTTGAGCAGAATTATCAACATTTATGGAAATAATTGTTTTAACTCATGGCATTTTATTGTTTATTTGTTTCAGTATTTAGCATCATTTGTAGTGAGAAAGAACTTAAGAATCTTAAAGAATTAGAGGACAAACATCTGGCAAAAAGAGCAAGACAAGATGAAGATGAGTAAGTATTGCAAAGCATTTTTTTCTAAAGTCCCACATTCATATTCAGAAAACTTTCAGCGGCTCTTTTTGGCCAACAGTGCAATTGTACCTGAACATTTTCCTGCCTTGCATTGTCTGTTCCTCCAGTTGTATTGCTTGTTCTCTATCCCTAAAGATATTTGGACTGGCTTTCAGTAACTTGAGTATTCATTTCCACTTACAAATCCCATTCAGCCTTCAACCATCAGTGAAGATGTCTTGGGCCTTCTTAGAGCCCTGTGAGTTTTCTCTTAACACTTGATTATAGAGATTTACTGTAATCTTTATATCATATGACTTTGGAATTGTTTTCTGTTTTGTATTACCAGCACAGTTGTCTTGTCATCATTGTTATTCTTTGCTTTAATATAATGCCAGGTATACTAAAAGATGGCAGAAATTTTAGTGTTTAAATCTGTTATGGCTGGTGTACTTATGTTAAAAATGCAAATGTTTTTGTAACTGGATTGATGGCTCAGTTCTTCCAGAAGAATCAGGTTTGATTCCCAGCACTCACATGACTGCTCACAGCTGTCTGTAACTGCAGTTCTCGGGGATATACATACGGTGCACATATATACATGCAGGCAAAACGCACCTGTAAACATGAAAACAAAAATATGAGACAGTCCTTATATTGATAGATAAGGAAGCTGATATTCCATGATATTAAGCACGGGGTTCTAAGTGGTTAAATGAATTTTTATTTTTAATTTAGCTTAGTTTTGAGACAGCGTCTCTCTGTGTAGTCCTGGTTATCTTCAAACATTCTTGGTAGATCCGGCTGGCCTCAACTCACAGAGATCAGCCTTTCTTTGCCTCCCAAGTGTTGGGAATAAAGGCATACACAACCACACCTGGCTATTTAAAATGAATTTTCAAATCCCACTTTCCTTTGATCTCTTTTTCCTGAGATTTATTTTTATTATTATTTTGTTTGGTTTTTTGAGACAGTATTTCACTGTGTAGTCCTAGCTATCCTGGAGCTCACTAGATCCACCTGCCTCTGCCTCCTAAGTGCTGGGATTAAAGGTGTGTGCCACCAATGTGTTTTGTTCCCTAGTTCCTCCTAGATTTTCCCCACCTCCCTTACCTGCCTCAAACAAAAAATGAAAACTAAAGCAAACAAAAACTAGTAAGACAGGAAAAAAAAGCCAAAATAGAAAGGTCTCACAGAAAACTTGGAGTTTGTTTTATGTTAGCCAACTAACTCCTCCCAAAATGGGGCTTTCCTTGGAGTGTAGTTAATCTCCCCAGTGATATCCCCTTGCCTAGTAGCTTTCAATTGGAATTACTTCTCATCCCCATTTCCTTTTCGGTGGTGGACTTTGTCCAGTTTGAACCTGTGCAGGTCCAGTGCATGCTGCCTTGGTGTCTGTGAGTTCATGTGTGCATCAGTGCTCTTGTGTCTGGAAGACTGTTTCCTTGGATTTATCCACTACTTCTGGCTCTTGCAATCTTTCTACCTCCTCTGCACAGATTCCTGAGCCTTGAGGGAGGGGTTTGGTGACGACATCCCATTTAAAGCTGAGTGCTTCAAAGTCTTACACTGCACATGATCCAGTTGTGGGTCTCTGTACTGATTCTCATCTACTATACAAATAAACTTCTCAAGCTGAGCAGTGGTGGTGCATTTCTTCAATCCCAGTACTCAGAAGCAGAGGCAGGTGGATCTGTTTGAGTTCGAGGCCAGCCTCGTCTACAGAACGAGTTTCAGGACAGCCACAGCTGTTATACAGAGAAACTCTTGTCTCAAAACAACAAAATATAATAATAATAATGATGATGATGATGATGATGGAATAAGCTTCTCTGATGATGGTTGACCCGTACACTGATCTGAGATTTGTATTGTTTTGTTTTCAATTATTTTAAGTTTTAAAAATTCTAAGTGAGTGTGCTTGTGTTAGGGGATGCCATGTATATGTGGGTACCTGTGGAGGCCCCAAGGGGCATCATATATATCCTATAAGCTGGAGGTAGAGGTCATTGTGTTAGGAACCAACCTCGGTCTTATATATGAGCAGCAAGTGCTCTTAACCGCTGATCCAGCTCTCCCTTTTTTTGTTGTTGTAGTTTTTGGGTGTTTTGATTTTTCAAGACAGGGTTTCTCTATGTAGCCTTGGCTGTCCTGGAAATCACTATGTGGATCAGACTGGCCTCAAACTCAAAGGATCCGCCTGCCTCTGTCTCCCAAGTGCTGGGATTAAAGGTCTGCACCAACCCCCACCCCAGCCAGCCCTTGGACTCATCATGTTTACCTTAATATACTAACTTACTTGAGATAGTAATTTTTTTATGTTATCAGAGAAAAGCCTTCAAAACTTTTTTTACTTTCTCTCTCTCTCTCTCTCTCTCTCTCTCTCTCTCTTAAATTCCTTAGGTACACTGAAAGCTATTCTGATGATGATTCAGACATGGAAGATTACCCAGACCCACAGGTAAGTCAGACATTCTGTGAGCCTACTCCTTTTTTCTTTTTTTCTTCCTTTCTTTTAAGATTCATCTGTTTTTAATATATATATATATATGTATATATCTATATTACTGTTTTACCTGCATGTATGTATGTGCACCATATGCATATCTGGTGCCTGAGTTCAGAAGAGGACATTGGATATCCTGGAACTAGAATTAAGAGCCATCATCATGTGGGTCCTGGGAACTGAACCTGGGTGTTCTGAAAGAGCAGCCAGTGTTCTTAACTGCTGAGCCATCACTCTAGCCCCCAGTTTTGTTTTCCTTACTCATTATGATCCTTTCTTAAAAGAAAAATAAAAAATAGAATGAAGGACCTTGTTTATCTTTATCAATACATAATTGAATGCTTTCTGTACATATTATCAATGGTTTAGTCCTCCTTCCAGTACTTACGCTTGTATAATTAGTTATATAAAGAAAAAGGAGGGCTGGAGAGATGGCTCAGTGGTTAAGAGCATTGCCTGCTCTTCCAAAGGTCCTGAGTTCAATTCCCAGCAACCACATGGTGGCTCACAACCATCTGTAATGGGGTTTGGTGCCCTCTTCTGGCCTGTAGGCATACAGACAGAACATTGTATACATAATAAATAAATATACAAAAATATATATAAAGAAAAAGGAGAGAAAACAATAGCCAAAACTAAAGGCAGATTAGAATACTAAGGCAGGTAATAAAGAAATACATCAGTCTGTGTCACCTTTAATCTCAGCACTTGAGAGGCACAGGCAGGCAGATTTCTAAGTACAAGGGCAGCCTGTACTTTCTGCCAAGGAGGCAACATGACAGACCTAAATAAAAAGATACAGCAAAAACGTGCCAAGTTACTTAACGGTTGCTTCTTAGTTTATCCTTCCTTGGTAAATGAGGCCTTAAATTTATTAACAAAGTGATTACAGTACTCCATTATATTTGATCTAGTATTGAGTTATGACTCACTGATTACTGGTCCATTTTCATACCTCTTGATTTTATTTAATCACCAATTATGAATTGGCCTGGTTCTGTTACCTTAGAGTGATTATAGTAGTTTTGGATAGTAAAAACTTTTTTGGAAATTAACTAATAGCCTGTGTATTCTGCCTGTAAATGTGAGAGAAGTTGTTTAAAGTAAAATACACAAAGCTTCTTAGTTTAGGTACTAAAGCTTAATACTTCCTGAGTAACTTAAATGAGATCATGTTTCTGCCAGTCAGCAAATCACATGAACAACTCCCTGCTGTCTTTGTATCGGAAAGGAAACTCTGACTCTGTTTCAAACACTTCGAAGTTGGACCAAGGAGAAGCCACCACTTCAACACCATTGCTGACTTCTAAAACGAGCATCATGCCATTGAAGACCCCTGCCAGAGAATCTGAGGGAGGATGGTTTATTGACAAAACCCCAGGTGGAAAGAAAGACAGTCATCTCTTGGACCTATCAGATGACCAAAGCAACTTAAAGCCAGATTCTGAGATACAGGTATTTTCTTTTTCTTTTGTTTTTGTTTTTTGTTTGTTTGTTTGAGACAGACTTTCTCTGTATATCTTTGGCCATCCTGGAACTCACTCTGTAGACCAGGCTGGCCTCAAACTCAGAGATCTGCCTGCCTCTGCCTCCTGAGTGCTGGGGTTATAGCTGTGCACCCCCATGCCTGGCTCAAGATACAGGCTTTTTTGGTTTTGGGGTTTTGGTTTTGTTTTTTGGTTTTTTTTGAGACAGGGTTTCTCTGTAGCCTTGGAGCCTATCCAGGAACTAGCTCCTTTTGACCAGGCTGGTCTTTAACTCACAGAGATCTACCTGCCTCTGCCTCCCGAGTGCTGGGATTAAAGACGTGTGTCACCACTGCCTGGTTAAGATACAGGTATTTTTATAGTGACAATGTAGTTCCATGTGTTGGAGTATATGCAGTCTTTTTATTGAATCTAACATCAAGCAAATACTTATAATTTATTTTTGTTTTTTTTTTTAAAGAATCGCAACTACTTTGAAATACACAGAAAGCTTTATCATTTTTACTGCTTCTGTCATTATCCTAGTACAGGCCTCTAGTGCTTCAACTGTTGAATAGATTCCTAAGTGTAGTCTGTCTACCTTTTGAGGAAGAAAAGTCAGCTAGCTGGTGGTGATGCATGCCTGAGTTCAAGGCCTTCCTGGTCTATGGAGCAAGTTCTAGGACAGCCGAGGCTACCTAGATAATCCCTGTCTAAAACAGACGCATGAACACACACACACACACACTCACACATTCACTCACATGGGGCATGTGGTGGTCTCAAAGTCTCATACTAAATCTGGGGCTTTCTGATTCTGTTAGACTGGTTGACTAGCAAGCTTCAAAGACCCTCTTGTCTTTGCCTACCCAGCACTGGCATTACAGACTACCCCATGACACACAGCTTTTTATGGGCGTGGGGTAGAATTTGAACTCAGTTCTCATGGTCTTATGATAAGGACTTAAAAAAATCTTTGTTTGATTTTGAAATAGGGTCTCTTGTAGCTTAGTCCATTGTTGAAATTTATGTCTAAGAAAGCCCTTAACTTCTATTAGATCCTTCTATTTTCATCATCAAAGTATTGGGGGGAATAGGTTTTCCTTTTATGTTATTATTGGGTCTTTCCCCAAATATCTTTCTTTGCTTTAAGCTGTAACTGTTCATCTATGGAGAACATAGGTAAGATATTGTTTATCTGTATTAAGTCTTTTATTTATTTATTTTTTTTGCTTTTTTCGAGACAGGGTTTAAGTCTTTTATTTTTTTTATTTTTTAAATATTTATTTATTATGTATACAATGTTCTGTCTGTGTGTATGCCTGTAGGCAAGAAGAGGGCACCAGACCTCATTACAGATGGTGTGAGCCACCATGTGGTTGCTGGGAATTGAACTCAGGACCTTTGGAAGAGCAGGCAATGCTCTTAACCACTGAGCCATCTCCCCAGGCCCTGTATTAAGTCTTTTAGAAGAGATTAAATAAATTTAACTGGTCAGCTGGCAGAACCTAGAAAGAAAGTTAGCAACTGTTAAGATTTAAGCTGTACCTTTAGGTTTCTGAAGGAAGGCATGAAAGAGATTGGTAATAGCTACAGCACAAATGTGTGTGTATATATTGCTGCCTTTGAAAACCATCTGTTAACATTGTAATTTGAAGTATAGCATATTTAAGTTTATATTTTCTCCCCAGAATTTAAAAGGTTCTCTTCTGGAAAGTGATAAGAAAAGGAAAGGTAGGCCAAAGGGGAAAGGAAACAAAAGAAAGACGGCGGATCTTCAGGAAGTAGATGGAGAAATAGAAGCTATTCTGCAAAAGAAAGGTGAGTGCGTAGCAGTAGATGGCAGGGTTGAGTTTGCTTTGAGAGAGGGCTTCACTATTTTGAGTTGTTTTGAGAACAATTTGTGTGTGGAAATGCCTAGGTGAAAACTTTTTTTTTTAATCTAATGGAGCTTTGGTAAGGAATCACTAATCTTTTCAACTTTTTTGTTTTTTACTAGCTAAAGCAAGGAGTGTAGAGTTGCAGATTTCCAGTGTGAAGTTTGAAGATGTTGGAGGCAATGACGCAACATTAAAAGTTAGTGCCAGTTGGGAAAAGGCATTGCATTTACACAAACAAAGCCTGTTTGTTTTTAATTTAAATAAAAAATTATGTGTATAGGTGTTCTGCTTGCATGTATGTTTGTGCACCTCTGCATGTGTGGTGCTCTCAGAAGCTACAAGGGAGTGCCAGATTCCCAGGAACTGGTGTTACAGTTTGAGCCACCGTGTAGGTGCTAGGAAACAAACCCAGGTCCTCTGCAAGAGCAGCCAGTGCTCTTAACCACTGGGCCATCTCTCCAGCCCTGCATCTTTGGCTTTTAGTGTGAAGTGAATATAGAAAAGAAGACAGGGAAGGTGCGATGAGCAAACCTGATCATTGAGGGTGCCAAGAGAGAAATGAAGCTTCCTGTCCTTTCAGAATCTTAGTTTTAGTGTGTGTAAAGTACATGCTTTAAATGTTATACTGTTCTGACAGTCCTAATAGTAATGGCTACAGTTTCTTAGTGTCTCCTCTGTTACAGTCTCTGTGTTAGCTAATTTTCTTGGTATTTTATGAGGTAGATATTTTTACAGCTTGGGAAACAGAAGTGTGGAGATATCATTTATTTACACAGCATACCAAAGCCAGGATTCAAACTCAAGTGGAAGCCTAAAGCCTGTGTTCTATGTAGTATGTTTTAGTGTTCCAAAAAACAGAAGATTTTATTCTACTTTGACTCAGCATTTCTGGTTTGGACTGAGGAAGACATCTTTTATGCTTATTTCTTGACAGGAAGTCTGCAAAATGCTGATACACATGCGTCACCCAGAGGTATACCAGCACCTTGGTGTCGTACCTCCTCGTGGAGTTCTCTTGCATGGGCCACCAGGCTGTGGGAAGACATTACTTGCGCATGCCATTGCTGGGGTAAGGCTAGTTGGTACTGGAGTTTGATTTTTGTTGTTGTTGTTTATTTTTCTCTTTGGTCAATTCCAATTAGCCCTGGTATCTTTATAGGAAGCAAATCTGATCTATAAGTAATTTCCCTTCCTCCTCCTCTCCCTCTCTTTCTTCCTCTCACATCATCTTCCTCATTGTCTTTGGTTTTTTGAGATAGAGTTTCTTAGTCCTGGAACTCACTCTGTAAACCAGGCTGGCCTTGAACTCAGAGATGCACCTGCGTCTCACCTTCTGAGTGCTGGGATTAAAGCGTGCACCACCACCGCCCAGCTTCCTCATTGTCTTTTTGTTGTTGTTTTGAGACAGGGCTTCTCATTGAACCTGGATCACACTTAATTTGCCTAGACTGGTTGGCCAGGAAACTCCAGAGATCATCTTTCCCTGTCTGTGCTGGGTTCCTGATGTGGAGCTCCACTGCCCGGCTTTTATATCAGTGGCGCAGCTCTAAACTCCGGTTCTCTTGCTCTAAGCACTTTACAGACTGAGCCATCCCCAGCCCCAACTTTTCTCATGACACTACTTATGCTGTTTTTTTAATGAATACAATTATTGTGTCTTTGACAAAAATTGGGTGGAAAGCAAAATAGCATAACTGTAAATTACAAACTCTTTTAAACACTTAGTTTACATTTTAGTTACCTCTCTTTCTTATCCTAGTTGTTCTTAAAGCAGCAAAATATTTTTAAAGTATTTTTTTTTCTTGGAGTTAAATTTATTTAAGATTTCCATTGTTAAAATGCCTTTCTAAAACAGTTTGAAATGATCACTTAGGCATGTTAACACACACCTGAAATGTGTGGGGTAAGGCAGGATTGCAAACCTACCTAGCCTAGGCTTTAATTTTGTGTGCTTCTTCCTTGGATCAACTCCATCCACCCCTGTGCCCACAAAAAGACATTTATTTTGCAAAGTAAAAACCTGGCAATCTTAATTTTGTCATGTCAAATTTTTCAGAAACTTACTTTATGGTAAAATGCAAAGTAATCCAAGGAATTTCAGCTAGCAGAATAGCATATTATTCTATCATCAATAGAGCAGACTTTCACTTTTCTTTATTTTTTCTTTTTTAAATAAGCATTGGTGTCTTGCCTGCATGTATTCCTTGTTGAGGGTCTTGGTTCCCCTGAAACTGAGGTTACAGGCAGCTGTGAAGTGTCGTGTGGGTGCTGGGGTTTGAGCCCAGATCCTTTGAAGAGCAACTAGTGCTCTTAACCAGTGAGCCATCTCTCCACCCAAGCTCTCACTTTTTAAGGGAAATTTGATTTATCTTTTTAAAAATAAATTTATTTCATGGCCACTGCATAGCAGACCTTGGAACTTAGTGTTTGCATTTATGTATTTGGGTAAATCCTAAGGTTTCTTTTAAAGTCAGGGTCTCAACACTGTTAGCCCAAAGCTTTAGTCTTCTAAGTGCTGAGATTATAGGTATAACCACTATAATTGGTGGTTCAAACCAAAGATTTTCGTTCTTTTTTATGGATTTATTTTTATTTATATATATTTTATGTATGAGTGCTTTGCTTGTACACCTGCACACCAGAAGAGGGCATCAGATCCTGTCATAGCTGGTTGTAAGCCACCATGTGCTTATGGGATTGAACTCATCTCCAGCCTTTCTTAGGTGTTTGGGGGGTTTTTTGTTTTATTGACTGGGGTAGGGGAGGTTCAAGATAGTGTTTCTCTGTGTAGCCCTGGCTGTCCTGGAACTTGCTCTGCAAATCAGTCTGGCTTCACACTTAAAGAGATTCACCTGCCTCTGCCTCCTGAGTGCTGGGATTAAAGGTGTTTGCCACCACCACCTGGATGACTTTGTTTCAATTTATTTACTGTATTACATTTTTGAGTGCTTTGACTGCATGTATGTCTATGTACCAAGTGTATGGCTAGTGTCCATGAAAGTCAGAAGAGGGTGTGGAATCACCTGGAGCTGGAGTTACTGACAGTTGTAAGCTGCTATGTGGGTGCTCTTAACTGCTGAGTCCATCTCTCTAAACTTTTATTAGTGTTTGTCATTGTGCCCACACACAAAGATGAAATTCCTTAGGAAATTGTAGAGGCCAGAAAGTTGGCTCAAGGGGTAAAGGAACATCCTCCATGCTTGATGAGCCTGTGTTGAAACCAGAAACAACAAGGTGGAGGGAGATAGCCAACTTCTACAAGTGGTTCTCTGACCTCCACGTGTGCACAGTGGCACACACAGATACATACATTCATGGATGCATAGTAAGTAATAATTTTTTAAAAATAAACAAAACAACCTAATTTTGACAGGGCAGATTGGATAGGGAAAATGTAAGGAAGTTAAATTGTGTTTACTCTTTAGTCACTCTTCTCCGTGTTTGTGCACAGGAACTTGACTTGCCAATTCTGAAAGTGGCCGCACCAGAGATTGTGTCAGGAGTTTCTGGAGAATCTGAGCAAAAGCTCAGAGATTTATTTGACCAAGCTGTGGTGAGTCAGCTCTTGCCCGTTTGGCTTTTCTAATGCTAGTTGCTTTTTCCCACTCATGGATTTCCTTTTGTAAAAAGGTTTAGTAGTAAAAATTTAAAGTGGGTTTTAATGATGAGGACTCTTGGCAAGTAATCTGTTTCATATGAGATCAAACAGGTAATGTTTTTTGTGCTGTCATACCTGAGAGTTTAATATCCAAAACATCTTGTCCTTACGATATTTCATTCACTTTGTTTCTCTAGCTTATGTTTGACCAAACAACTTGCAAACAATAGGAGAATTATCATATTTAGGATTATACAAGTACTGTAAAACTCAAGGATAATTACTCTTTATATGATTAGAGGTTAAAAGGAAATTCACTTACCAGAGGAAAAAAATTATAGCTCACTACAATTTCTGTTATTAAAATTTAAAAGAGGATATTTGGGTCTAGTTGAAGTTACATCTTCAGCATAGTATGGGTGTATTCTGACTAAGAAAGTTGGAGACAACTCAGGGTCATCACCTAGCATGGTAGGGAGGAGGCTATCTACTCTACCCTGTTACTTGGAGTAACCTGCAATGGTAAAAAATACTCAACTCTCATGGAGTTTCTTTTTTTTTTTTTTTTTTTTTTTTTTTTTGCTTTTTCGAGACAGGGTTTCTCTGTGGTTTTGGAGCTTGCCTGGAACTAGCTCTTGTAGACCAGGCTGGTCTCAAACTCACAGAGATCCGCATGCCTTTGCCTCCCAAGTGCTGGGATTAAAGGCGTGCGCCACCACCGCCCGGCTCATGGAGTTTCTGATTGTTTAAATCAGAAGATTATTTTTTCTCAGACAGTGTGTTGATATGTTGTCTAGCCTGGTTTTAAATTCTTGGCCACACAACCTTCCTACCTCAGCCTCCTAAGTGCTGTGATTATAGTTATGCACCACCATGCCCAGATGAAAGATATCTTAGAAAACATTTAACACTGTGTCCAGTATAATGCAAGGGTCCTGTAAATCATGACGTGTGCTTGAGCAGACAGGAGTCACCACTGTGACGAAAACTAAAAAGTGACGCAAAGTTTTTCTGTTGTGTTTCCTTCCCTACCTAACCTTTTAGACAGGGTCGTAGGGAACCCAGTCTAGTGTCAGGATTCATGTGTAACTGTGGATGACTTTGAACTTAGGATCCTCCTGCTTCCACGCAAGTGTTGAAATGACAGTTGTGAACCACCACACTGTGTTTAATTTTGCATCTTTATTTGCATCCAAAATATATAATGGCTCATAAACATAACCATTATGACTACTAGAAGCTGATGTGAAATAGAGAAATGTGTTTTAACTGCAATAATAAGTAATTATTCATTTGTAATAAATGATATTGAATATAAATTATAAAAATACATTAATTTTTAAAAATATTAGTTGCATGCCAGTCCCAGTTCCCCCTTCTACTACCTTCTTCCCCACCCCTGCATTTGCTCTTCAGATAGTGTAAGGCCTTCCACGGGAAGTTAACTAAGTCTTTCCTATCACCTCACTGGGGTAGGGCCAAGCCTCACCACCACCACCAGTGCCTCGGCTGAGCAAGATATCTCTCCATAGAGAAAGTACTCCACATAGTCAGTTTATGCATTAGAGTTAGATCCTGGTTCCACTGCCAGTGGCCCCATATATTGCCCAAGCCACACCTCAGTCACTTCTATTAGGGATCCTAGTTCAGTCCTGTGCAGTATCCCCATTTGTCAGTCTGGTGTCACTGTGCTCCCCCTAGCTCAGGTCAGCTGAATCTGTGTGTAACAGTTCTTGCTGTCCTAGAATTCCTGTAGACTAGACTGGCCTCAAACTCAGATCTTCCTTCCTCTGCCTCCTGAGTGCTGGGATTAAAGGCGTGTGCCACCACCATCTGGCCAAATTTTGACATTTTTATGTTAGAGAAAAAGTCATACCATTTGAGCAAACTTGTATTTTCTAGTTTGAAGTTTATTTTTATTTTGGTTTTGTGAAATGGGATCTCCTCTAGCCAGTCTGGCCTGGAACTAGAGACATTGCCTAGGATGTCCTTGAAATCTTGGTCTTTCCAAGGCCCAAAATTAATAGCATGTGCCACTGTGCTTAGTTTAAAGCTTTTAAATGTAGCATGCAAATATATCTGACTTACAGAAGAATTTCAGAAGGTATTTCAGAACCATGATGCATTCCGTTCTCAGAATATCTGTTCTGTCCTAAGAGAACCAGAAGCATTTTTATGAACTGCCTTTTTCATGGTTATTCTTTGACTCATCCTTGAGCTTTAAATTTCTAAAGAATACATAAACGTTATCTACCAATATAGAGAATTTATTTTATAGTCATATCTTTGTGTTATTTTTATTTCTAGTCAAACGCACCCTGTATTGTTTTCATTGATGAAATTGATGCTATTACCCCCAAAAGAGAAGTTGCTTCAAAAGATATGGAACGAAGAATTGTAGCCCAGCTTCTAACCTGCATGGATGGTCAGTTTAAAATAATGAATTAGTTTTAAGATAATACATTTCTTAAAATAATGCAAGTCGTATGTGCGTTTAAAACGAACCATTTAAATAGTGAATCTCATAATAGGATCTTTTTTGTAGAAGATTTTCCAATCATTTCAAATTGTGTTGTACTCTGCCTGTGTGTGTATGTATGTGGGTACACATGTGTGTGCCAGGAGTGTTTACATGTGTATGTGAAAAGGGAACCCAGAGAACAATCTCAGATATCATTATTTAGGGACCATCATTAATTGAATTGGCTTAGTGCTTGCCAAATAAGCTAGACTGACTGCTGGTGAGCCCCAGGGATCTGCCTGTCCCCATCTTTCCAGCACTGGGATTACAGGTGTGCGAGGTTTCATGCCGTTTGTTTTTCTTTAATGTGGGTTCTGGGAATTGAACTCAGGACCTCATGTTTGTGTACCAAATAATTTTCTACCTAAGCTGTCTCCTCAACTCTGTAGTAATTAAATATGCATATATTATGTTGTTTTGCTTTTGCTCTCTACAATTTCAGGGTCACATAGTACCTACTGTTGTCCCTTAATATCTTTGGGAGAGAAATAATAAAATCTTAATGTATTTTTATTTCTGTCTTTAAAAAATATTTTTACTTTTGCTCTTGTGTGGTGGCAGGTGCCTTTAATCCCAGTTCTCCGGAGGCGGAGGCAGGCAGATCTCTGTGTGTTTGAGGCCAGCCCTGTCTATACAGTGAATTCCAGTTAGCCAGAGCTACAATGTGAATCCCTGTCTCTATCCTTACTTCCACAAAAAAGTACTTTAAGTTTGTATGTGTGGTTTTTATGTGTGAGTGCATTGCCAGTAGAGAACATAAGATCCCTTACAGTTACAGGTCATTTTGAGCACCCAGGGCTGGTTATTTGAAACCAAACTAGGGTCTTCTGAAAGGACACTATGAGTTCTTAATTGCTGAGCCGTTTCTCCAGCCCTATGTTTACCTCTTTTAACTGTAATAATATTCTTTAAGTTTACTATGCAGAATTAAGCATTTCTACCAATGTTTCCTTATAGAGTTTGAGGCTAACCTGGCTGCATAGTGAATTATAGTCCAGCCAGGTATATATTACAAAAACAAGAAAAGAAATAGAATATGTTTTGATGTCATATTTCTGTAATCTGTTATCCAAGCACATAGAAAGCTGGGACAGGATAATTGCCATGAGTTGTAGGCTAGGTTGGGTTACATAGTATATTTCAGGCCCAGCTTTGTCTAAAGAATGAGACCCTGTCTCAAACAAACAAACAAACCAAAAAAATACAAATGGAAAGTTAATTTGAAATACTACATAACATAATATGTATTACGAGTTTCTTATTGTGCCAATTTATAAATTACTTGTTGTATTTTACCTTTTGTGCAATGCCAGGGATTGAACCTGGGTCCTGGTGTGAGCTCTGCAAGCTCTCTACCATTGAATTTACACCACTAGTGCCCTATACTGTTTCATTTTCATCTCAAGTTTTCTGTCATGTTTTTGAGACCTATAGTATGAGAAAAGCTTTTAATAGATTCTTGCTAATAAAATAGGTACATTATTTATAATGTACGTAACATTTGAATGACATGTTATTTCCTGAGGCAGGGTAGCCTAGACTCTCTCTGTTTAATTCTGGTTCAGCTGACAGAATATTTATGAAAGCTAAAACTGGTAGAATATTTGTGAAAGATAAAAGTTAAACCCCGTATTCTGTTTATTCCTGAAAATCTGTCTCTAAAATAAGCCAGAGCAACTTGGGATGTTCTATCCCACTGTCTGGTTCTCCCCTATTCTTGCGAGACAACATTGCTGCCTTCCTCTCTCCCACTGCTGGGCCATTTATATTGTCTGTGTGTGCATTGCCTGTGCACCTGTGTGTTTTCACTCATGCTGTTGTTGTCTTAGAACTCCAGTAACGTTTAGCTCTGTTTGTAATACCACATTTGCCCATCAGGCTTTTCTGCAGGGTTTGTTCCTATGAAGCCTCATCTCCTCCATTGCTCTGTTACAGTGCTTGGTTTATCCTGATTGTTACTAAATTTCTTGAAACTTGTCTGACACATTGTTTCCTTAATTATGCACTTCATAGTCCTTAGTAGACTGTGAATTTCAGCACAAAAGGCAATCTTTATCTTCTTCACACTTTCACTGTATTAGACAATGATTTAAAGTATTTATATATTAAAGTACACAAATTCTCTCTAACCTTTAAATGATTTGTATAAACATTGTTGTCCTCAAATGTCAGGTGACTTGTTCTCTACTCTTTTATGTTGGTCCTCACTAGATCTGAATAACGTGGCAGCTACAGCTCGAGTTCTAGTAGTTGGAGCTACTAACCGACCAGACTCTTTGGATCCTGCTTTAAGACGTGCAGGAAGATTTGACCGAGAAGTATGCCTGGGTATCCCAGATGAGGCTTCCAGAGAAAGGTATATTATGGAATGACGTTGTTTATATTCCACTATGTGAGCTAAGCAACAGGTTTTGAAAATAAATAGTAAGAATACAATGTAGTGCATTCTATCTCTTGTCTGTCTCTCTCATTGGGTTTTGTTTGTTCTGTTTTTTTTTTTTTTTTTTTTTGCTTTTTCGAGACAGGGTTTCTCTGTGGCTTTGGAGCCTGTCCTGGAACTAACTCTGTAGACCAGGCTGGTCTCGAACTCACAGAGATCCACCTGCCTCTGCCTCCCGAGTGCTGGGATTAAAGGCGTGCGCCACCATCGCCCGGCTTTGTTTGTTCTGTTTTGAGTAGTAGAGTAGAAATCTAGTGAATGTTGGAAGCTGTTACATTTATAATGTTTTTTTGTGATGCTAAAATAGTCACTAGCTACTTTTAGGAAAAGTAATAAATAATGAAGGGAAATCATTGCCTTAGAGGGGCGGGAAGAAGAAAAGGTGGAGGAAGTGGTAAGAAAGCGCTGTGTGTAAAAGGTTCAGCACAGGTCTATTCCATCCTTTCCTTCTTCCCAGTGTCTGATGTCACTTCGTTTTTCTAAAAATAATTATTAGTCAACAGTTTCTAAGATGTTGACTTCATAATTATTTGTATAGATAATAATTATGTTCATATGTATTCTTCAAACAGCTTATTATCAAGGTTTATTTACTAATACTTTTATATCTCCAACAAAATAATAATATTCATATTACTCATATTTATTTATTTGTAGAACAGTTGAGCAAGGTTGTCCATGCCTGTAATCTCAGAGCTATGATTCAATACAGAAAATAATCCCAGCTCTGCCTCATAGTGTCTTATGCCAACCTTTAATTTTACATGAAAATAATAATTTAAAAAGTAGCTTACTTTATGTGTAAAATACTAATAGTGCTTTAGCTTTAAGATCTGTGGAGAGTTAATTAATGTAACCTAGCACAATGTCCTGACCAGAGAACAGTTTTAGCGCTGTGCTGGGGTTGCACTCAGAGTTTGCTCCAAACTAGACCAGTGCTTTCTTTTTCACTGAACTTTGCCCCAGCCCTAGAAGATAAATTTTAAGGTAACATGATAATTTATTTTTCCTTAAAAAAAAATTTTTAAAAAGAGTTTATTTCCCCCCCATCCCTGACAGGCAGTGGTAGCTCACACCTTTAATCCCAGCACTTGGGAGGCAGAGGCAGGCAGATCTCTGAGTTCAAGGCCAGCCTGGTCTACAAGAACTAGTTCCAGGACACGCTCCAAAGCTACAGAGAAACCCTATTTCGAAAAAACAAAACAAGCCGGGCGGTGGTGGCGCACGCCTTTAATCCCAGCACTTGGGAGGCAGAGGCAGGCGGATCTCTGTGAGTTCGAGACCAGCCTGGTCTACAAGAGCTAGTTCCAGGACAGGCTCCAAAACCACAGAGAAACCCTGTCTCGAAAAACCAAAAAAAAAACAAAACGAAAAAACAAAACAAACGAAGTTTATTTAGTGTGTATAAGAATTTTTCCCACATGTGTGTTTGTGCACCACATGCATGCCTGTTGCCCATGGAGATCAGAAGAGGGCAAGAGGGCATCAGATCTCCTCGAAAATAGACTTACACACAGTTGCTAGTGGCCAGTGGATGCTGGGAATTAAACCCAGGTCCTCTGCAGGAGCAGCAAGTGCATTAAACCACTGAGTCATCTTCTCACACACCCCCAAACTCTACTTTTGTTTTATAAGAAATCTTCGACATACATGAAGGAAGAGCTGTTTTATTTTTTTTTATAAAAAATATTTTTGAAAATTTCATACCTGCATACGATGTGTTTTCATCATATTTATCTCCCAGTCCTTGCCCTAACTCCTTGCATATACACCTCTTCCTGCCCCATCCTCTCTCTCAACTTCATGTTTTCTTCCTTTTTTTTTTTTTTTTTTTTTTTAAATAACCCAGAGTATATGCTTCCCATACACAAAAGTGGATAGTGGTAGAAGTAGAGGCAGTTTATTAAAACAGAAAAATGGTACCGGGTGGTGGTGGTACGCACATTTGATCCCAGCACTTGGGAAGCAGAGGCAGATGGATCTCTGTGAGTTATAGGACAACCAGGGCTATGTAGAGAGACCCTGCTAGTTAAAAATGGTAGAATAGAAAGTAATGGTTGCCCTTAGCCATTCTGTCAGGTGTAAGATGGAATCTCAGAGTTGTTTTGATTTGTATTTCCCTGATAGCTAAGGATGTTGAACATTTCCTTAAGTATCTTTGGCCATTTGAGATTCTTCTATTGAGAATTCTGTTTAGTTCTGTACCCCATTTTTTAATTGGGTTATTTAGAATTTTAATGTCTGATTTTTTTTGAATTCTTTATATATTTTGGAGATCAGTCCTCTGTCCAATATGGCATTGGTAAAGATCCTCTCCCATTCAGTAGGTTGCCTTTTTGTCTTATTGACTGTGTCCTTTGCTTTACAGAGCTTCTCAGTTTCAGGAGGTCCCATTTATTTATTGTTGTTCTCAGTGTCTGTGCTACTGGGGTTGTGTTTAGGAAGTGGTCTCCTGTGCCCATGCATTGAAGACTACCTCCCACTTTTTTCTTCTATGAGATTCATTGTGGTCAGATTAATATTGAGGTTTTTAATCCATTTGGACTTGAGTTTTGTGCGTGGTAAAGATATGGATCTATTTTCATTCTTCTACATGTTGATGTCCAGTTATGCCAGCACCATTTGTTGAAGATGCTTTCTTTTTTCCATTGTATAATTTTAGCTTCTTTGTCAAAAATCAGGTTTTCATAGCTGTGTGGATTAATATCCGGGTCTTCGATTCATTCCCATTGGTCAACATCTCTGTTTTTATGCCAATACCAAGCTGTTTTCCTTATTGTAGCTCTGTAATAGAGCTTGATGTCAGGGATGGGGATGCCTCCGGAAGTTCCTTTATTGTACAGAATTGTTTTGGCTATCCTGGGTTTTTTGTGTGGCAAAGGCATTCTGTCAGTTTAAGGTTAACCTGTTGTGTATATCAAGTTGCAGGCCAACAAGAGCAACACATTAAAACACTGTTTCAAGGGGGGACAAGCTTTTGGTGCTGAATAGAAGTATGGTTTGGGTGTAGAGGTTTTTTCTGATAAGTTCATGTCTTGTTTGCTCTGAAAGTGTCCCCATAAGCTATTTCCTCTACAATATTGCAAAACGCTTAAAAGTGTGTGTGTGTGTGTGTTTATGTGTGTATATATGTATATATTAAAGGCTGTACTTATTATATTCCTTATAATGCATAGCATAGTTCCCAATAAATAGATATTTAGCAAAAGTTTTTCTGGATAAACTTGGGCATGTAGCAGTGACCAAGCATTTATTGAGTGAATGATTTTTCCATCTTATTCATGAGACTATCAGTAAGGATTAATATAGTATGAACTTTCAAATAAATATAGTTAGGAATTTGCTTTTACTATTAGACTGGCGGGTCTAAATTTTTTTCAACTGTCATTTCTACAGAATACTTCAAACTTTGTGCCGAAAACTGAGACTTCCAGAAACTTTCAATTTTTGTCACTTAGCACACCTAACGCCGGGCTTTGTTGGTGCTGATCTGATGGCACTTTGCCGAGAGGCAGCCATGTGTGCAGTCAATAGGGTCTTGATGAAGCAGCAGGAGCAGCAGAGTCCTGAGATGGAAGGGTTGCCCCCTAAAGGAGCCCAGGAGGAGAGGCGGGGGGCTGACCCCACTTCTGAAACACAGGTGCTTTTCAGTGCTCTCTCCGTCTCTTTCTCTCTCTCTTGTATTTATTTGTTTATTTTTTAATGAAGATTTATTTATTTATGTATGAGTGCTCTATCTGTATGTATGACTTAATGCCAGAAGAGGACATCAGATACCACTAGAGACGGTTGTGAGCTATCTCTTGTGGTTGCTGGAAGGACATCCAGTGCTCTTAACCACTGAGCCATCTCTCCAACCCTTTTATTTTGTTTTTTAGTTGTGTGGGATATTTTTGTTTTGTTTTGTTTTTTTCTTTCATTTATTTATTTATTTATTTATTTATTTTGAGACAGGGTTTCTCTGTGTAATAGCTCTAGCCATTCGGACCAGGTTGACCTCACAACTCCCAGATGCTGGGATTAAAAGTGTGGGACATCACTGCCTGGCATAACGCAGGTTTTCTAATCTGTAAAAATATATTTTCACAAAAATGCAGAAGCACTTAAATTTCCCAATTTCCAGGTAGATAACGATATTTTCATACACAAACTAGCAAATGCTATAAACTTTATCAGTGCAGGATGCTTTTTATGAGATTTACTGCATGGCGCTACTAAGTAGAGCTGTATTTCATTTCATTTTATTTGGAATTTATTGTTTTATGTGTATCGATGTTTTGCCTACATGTGTATATGAGCAGGCATGTGTGCCTGTTGCCCATGGAAGTAAGAAGAGAGCTTCTGATGCCCTGGGATTGGAGTTACAGATGGTTGTGAGCCACTTGTGGTGCTGGGACTCGATCCCAGGTCCTCCACAAGAGTGGTAAGTGCTCTCAACCACTGAGCCAGCTCTTCTGCCCCAGAACTGTATTTTAAAGCTCATTTTGTTCAAATTTAATTTTCATATGAATTTAACTTAAATTCAGGGCTTACTTTAATCCAGGTTTGGCCTGTTCGTTATTAATAAGTATTTATTGGGAGTGCCTCTAAGTGCTCGATACAACAATGAAAAATCAGGTTCTAAGTGCTCAATACAACAATGAAAAATCAGGGTCTGCATTTAAAGATCTTGGTAAAGTGAGACTATTGGGAAAAGTAAGAGAGCACAAAAATATCAGAATTTCTTGAATAATAACACATTCGGCAGGTATGATATTGGTTGTTTGCCTACATGTATATGTGTACACTGTATGCATTCCTGCTGTCTGAGGAGACCGGAAGATGACATTGGATCCCGTGGAACTGGAGTTAACAAACAGCTGTGAGTTGCCATGTGGGTGCTCTGAATTGAACTTGGGTCCTGGAATAGCAGCCATTGTTTAGCCGTCTCTCCAGCCTGAGTGTGGTGGTTTTAATGGCAGCAGTTTGCTGCATAATCTTCCTACTTTGATAATCTGACTGAGTCAAACACAGAGTCTTTTATTTTAATCTTAGTTGCTAGTATTACCTTTCCTAGCACAAAGCACACAGTAAATATATCAGTATCATAAATCCATATAGATGTTGGTTACAGGATGAATAAAGAGCTAAAACAGACTAGAGACATGGCTCCCTGGTAAAGAGCTCTTCCAGAAGATTTGGGTTCAAATATCAGAGCCCATATGGCAACTCTCAACTGTCCTTAACTTCAGTCCCCGAAGATCCAACGCCCTCTTCTGGCCTTTGCAGGCACCATACATAACACATGGTACACACTTAGATGTATGCAGAACACCTATCCACATGAATTAACCAATTAAATTTTTTCGGGTGATAGTGGTATGCACGTTTAATATCAGTACTTGGGGGGCAGAGGCAGGTGGATCTCTGAGTTGAAGGCCTGTCTGATCTACAGATCAAGTTCCAGGACAGCAAGGGATTCACAGAGAAACCCTGTCTCAGGGCTGGGGTTGAGGATGGGTTTTTTTTCCTGTCCCTTCATGATCTTCACAGAGCAAGCAATCTCCCTTTGGACTAGGAAAGCTGCCTACTGTGTATTTGATTTATAAGGCGTTAAGAACCTTATGAATTTATATTGTTGCCAGCACAACTTTTTTTTTTTCCTTTTCTTTCTTTTCTCTCTTTTTTTTCCTTTAATTGGTTTTTCGAGACAGGGTTTTGCTGTTTAACAGCACTAGCTATCCTGGAACTTGCTTTGTAGACCAGGCTGACCTCAAACTAACGAGAGATCTGCCTGCCTCTGCCTCCTGAGTGCTGGGATTAAAGGTATGTGCCACCAACACCTGGCAAGCATAGCTTTTCTTAAGTCGGCTGTTTTATGAATACTTAGAAATGAAATGGATATCATCCAACTGCCTATGTTTGCATTATTTAACTCTAGCTTAAAATTTAGAACCATATTTAATATCAAATCAATTTGTCTTCTCTCTGACTATGACATGGGCCACTAATACTGGCCTAAAAATTATATTTATATATCTTTTTTTTTTTTTTTTTTTTTTTGGTTTTTCGAGACAGGGTTTCTCTGTGGTTTTGGAGCCTGTCCTGGAACTAGCTCTTGTAGACCAGCCTGGTCTCGAACTCACAGAGATCCGCCTGCCTCTGCCTCCCGAGTGCTGGGATTAAAGGTGTGCGCCACCACCTCCCGGCTTTATATATCTTGATTATAGTTGATTTATCTTTATTTAACCAGATATAGTATCTACTTAGAATGAAATGAATATATCTTATATAAAGGAGAAAGAAATTATTACAATACATAGAAGCTCATTAAAGTTACTTTAACATGTGGAATCTTAGAATAATTATTTAAATTGCATGTAACATTGTGGTTCACACTTTTTTCTTTTAACTTTGTCTTAAAGGATGAATTGCAAAGGCTGTTGAGGTTGCTAAGAGACCAAGATCCCCTCTCACAGGAACAGATGCAAGGACTGTGCATTGAATTAAATGATTTTATTGTTGCTCTAGCGGAAGTCCAGCCTTCTGCCAAAAGGGAAGGCTTTGTAACTGTCCCTAATGTGACATGGGCTGATATTGGCGCCCTGGAAGATGTTAGAGAAGAGCTCATTATGGCAATATTGGTAGGTATATCAGCTATCAGTATCACTGGTCATGAGTTAAGATCTAGTTTAAAAAAAAGACCTGCATGCATGTCTACCAGATTATATTATTTAAAAAAATTCAGACTTTTATTTTATGTGTATGAGTATTTTACCTGTGTGCATATTTGTGTACATGCGCATGCCTAGTACTGGCGGACGTCAGAAGGTATCAGATCTTTTGGAACTAGAGTTATAGATTGTTGAGAACCCCTCTTGTGGGTAGGGTACTGGGAACTGAACTCAGGTTCTCTGCAAGAGCAATAGTGCTCTTAACCACCGAGCCATTTCTATTGTTCCCAAATACATCTTTTGAAATGTAGCTTTACTGAGATATAATTTTATTTATAATTGGAAATTCAGCCTCAGTTGTCACCTTTTTTAAGTCTAACTGTCCCAACAATGAGATGTCATTCTCTTGAGATATTTCATACTCATTATTTTGGTTATATTTGGTTTTTATATAGTGAGTTCAAGGAAAACAAATCCTGGTTTCATACAAGACCAATTTGTATGAAAACCACCTTTGTGTCTTGGTTGTATTCAGGAGGATCAAGGCAGTTTTACACCCATGGAACTTTGGTTTGATTTTAGTTTACTTTTTCTTTTCTGCTTATTGACCATTTTAATTTAATTATGATCTATTTAATGGGTATGTACTATCAAAAGTGAAAGTACATTAGAATTGCAGAGAACAGGCATGTGTGGCATTTGACTGTGTGCATGGTCTGTTGATTTCCTGGAGAAAGCTGTACCTGGATTTTCATAACTTAGAAATTTGGTTGATTTTCTAAAACTTGATTTTAAAATATTGCAGTAGTTTTTCTTGACCTGGGGTAATAACTCAGTCATCAGGTAAGATAAGGACCTAAGTTTGTCCCCAGAAGCTATGTTAAATCAGATGCAGTAGTGAATTCTATAACCACAACACTCCAAGAGGGAGACTGGAAGTAGAGACAGGAAGCGTCCCTGGATGGCCAGCCTGCTAGATAAACACGACAGAAAAAGCAAGAGACCTTGATTCAAAGAAGGTGAAAGGCAAGGACACACAATAGTTTATCCTCCAGTCTATATACCTCGGCACACACGTTATAATATAAAAAATAATGAAGCCAGGCAGTGGTGGCGTGCACCTTTAATCCCAGTACTCAGGAGGCAGAGGCAGGTGGATCTCTGTGAGTTCGAGGCCAGCCTGGTCTACAAGAGCTAGTTCCAGGACAGGCTCCAAAGCCACAGAGAAACCCTGTCTCAAAAAACAAAACAAAAATAATGAAATATTATTATCTTTTTGCCTAATATGTTCTCATAAATTACACCTTAAGAACGGTGACTTTGGCTTAATGTGATAGTATAGTCCTTAAATACCTCTTCTTAGGAGACAGATATAGCTGAATCTTTGAGCTTGAGACCAGCCTGGTCTACATGTCGAGATCCAGGCTAACCAGGATTGCATAATGATCCTGTTTCAAAAAAGAAAAAGAGAGCCTTTCCTATTTGTCACCATGTACCTGATGTCTGAAATGAGTCAGCCAGGGGCTGCCATTTTCAGCCCTTGTGAACAGGGTCAAATGTAAAAGATGAGATGCATTTGAATATTCAGTGTAAAGTGGATATCTATAATGGATCGCTGTTGGCATTGCTTGTTCTAGGCACCAGTTCGCAACCCAGACCAGTTCAGAACGCTTGGTTTGGTGACTCCAGCTGGCATCCTCCTAGCTGGTCCTCCTGGATGTGGGAAAACTCTGCTAGCAAAGGTATGGTAGAAGTTCAACTGCATGCATTGCTTTTCTTGCCTTCAGGAGGATAATAAGGCTTGAATCATGACATGAAATACATCCTTTGTATACTTTCTGTTAGAAATCTGTTTTAGCAAAACTGATTTTTTTTTAAATAAAATTTTCTACATTCTTATATCCCTCTTTAGAACTGAATGGGTTTTATTTGTTGATTTATTTTTATTTTTTTCAAGGTAGGGTTTCTCTGTGTAACAGTTCTGGCTGTCCTGGAACTTGCTCTGTAGACCAGGCTGTCCTCGAACTCAAGAGATCTTCCTCCTCTGCCTCCCAAGTGCAAGGATTAAAGGTTGCATCACCATCGCCTAGCTAACAAAATGGTTTTAATTTGTTGTGCCACCCTCATTCCTAGGAAAGAAGCAAGAAAAGGGGTCTGTCCCCTGAGGACAGAAAGCCTTATGTGTCTCTCCCAGTTAGGAAACATTTCATGAACTCGCCAGTCATATTTGCTCAGGAGCCATTCTCATCTTTGTAGCTGCTCTTATTTTTTGCTTTTGTTCAGTTATTATAACTTGAATATTTTCAATGTGTTCTTTATAATTTTTTTTTAAAAAAAGCTTTTCGCAATAGAGAATATATATTACCAAAATGGAAAAAAAAAAACATTTATAATCCTACTACGCCTTTCTGCTACCATTGTTTCATTTTGTAGTTGGTCCCAGGTGTTTTTCTTTATACATATCAAGATACAATATATGCAAGATAATTTGTTTATGAGCTTCTGTTGGTGTAATCAAACACCTAAACATCACAAGGGGACATATTGCGCCTCGTGATTTCTGAGACTTTAGTCCAGTATCTGATGATGGCTCCATGTTTCTGTGCCTGTGGTGAGGAGAAGAACATAACAGAAGGATAACAAAGGAAAGTAGCTTACCATGTGCCAACTGGGAAGCAGAGAGAGAAAGAGACTGGAAATAAGATCGTCTTTCCAGAATGTGCCCCTGGTGTTACAGTAATGAGATCGAATTCTCTTTTCCTTGTGTAGCCTTGACTGTCCTGGAACTCTGTAGACCAGGCTGTCCTCAAACTCATGCTGCCTGACTCTGCTTCCTAGATGCTGGGATTAAAGGTATGTGCCACTACCGCCTAGCAAGATTGGACTATTAATGCATCAATTAATTTATCATTTAGGTCAAATCTTTTATGATCCAAATACTTCCCAAAATACTGCTAGCAGAAAGCCAGGCCTTTAACATACAAACCTTTAGGAAATCTTGCATATCTAAACCATAGTGATAATATATATATATATATTTATATATTCCATATTTCTAAAATGTAAAATTTTATTTAGGAAAATTTTTATGTTAAGTATAGGGAGTCGTTTCTTGCTGTATGTCCTGTATATCCTACGTAGGCTGGCCTTAGACTCTTACAGATCACCCTCCTACCTTAACCGCCAGAGTGCTGGGATTGTAAATGTGTATTACTATACCTAACTTCAAATAAAAGGTCTTTATACACTTTTCTTGCTTAGTAATATTTCCTGAATACAGTATTTTTAGGTTTGTTTTTGTTTGTTTGTTTTTAATATTACCTGTGTAGTATGTATGCCGGGGGCCCAGAGAGATCAAGAAAGCATCAGAAACCCTGGAGCTGGAGTTACATACCTACTGCTGTGTGGGTGTTCGGAATCACAGATCCTATGGGAAAGCAGCCGGTGCTCTTAACCACTGAGCGATCTGTCTAGCCCTTGAATACAGTATTTTAAAGAGATGGCCAGTGAGCAGGTTAAGGCACTTGGCATCAAACCTGATTGCTTGAGTTCAATCCCAGGACCCACATTGTGGAAGGAAAGAACTGACTCTTCCACATTGTCCTCTGAGTTCCATAGAGTGCTGTAAAGCACGCACACACCACACACATACATATATAAACATAAGTAAGTGTAATAAAAATGTTAAAGGTTTTTTTTAATGCCTGTATTAGTTTTGCCATAGAGATGTTTTGTAGTTTATGATGATACGGATATGGTTGTACATTCCAGCAATCCCAGTACTTGGGAGCTAGAGGCAGGAGGATCAGGAGTTTAAGGTTGTCCCTCTGCTGCACAATGAGTTTGAGACCAGCATAGGCCACGTGAGACCTTGACTCCAAAGTCCCATTACACTATATAATCTTGCGTTCACTGGTAATTTTATTAAAATGTAGTCCTAAATCATTTTTCAGTGACTAGAATGCATTTTTTTATAATTTTTATTTTTATTTTATGTGCATTCATGTTTTGCCTGCTTGTATGTGTGTGTGAAGGTGTCCAATCCTCTTGAATCTGGCCCCTTTTAACTGCAGTTATAGGCAAAATGTTGGGAATCAAACCCAGGTCCTCTGGAAGAACAACCAGTGCTCTTAACTGCTAAGCAGTCTCTCCAGTCCCAAGAATGCAATGTTTTTAAAGTACATCAAGGTGGCTTTCTAAAGGTTTCATCTTTAAGTTTGCAGTGGCCATTTAAAAATAGCTTAGCTGACCTGGAACTCATTGTGCAGACTGACCTTCAGCTCACAAAGGTATGGCCTGCGTCTGCCTCCTGCTTGCTGAGATTAAAGGTGTATACATACCACCACATCCGGCTTAAAATTTCTTTCAATAATTAGCATCCAATAAGTACAAAATATTTTTCCTATTTGTCTTATTTGTATCTTTTTGTTTCTTCTGGGTAGGCTGTGGCAAATGAGTCTGGACTAAATTTTATATCCGTCAAAGGCCCTGAGTTATTAAATATGGTAAGTTGTGTGGCAGCAGCTATTTAATTAAGATAAGCCATGATGAGTAGGTGCTCTCAGATCAATTATGACACTGGAAGACCGAGTTTGCTATAATATACAGGGTCTGTATAAATCTATTAACCTACAAGCAAGTTTCTGCACCTTTAAAAAGTAAAATGATTTATTACAGTTATTAACATTAAAATGTATTCATGCTATTTATCAGACACTTCAGATGTTTTTATTCTTGAATATCCTTGTGAAATATGAATTGTTCGTGTATGTGTATGTGTGTATGTGTGTGTTATACGTACTCATGCATATGGAGGCCAGGGGTCGTCCTTATGTGTTGTTATTTGGGACACTTCCACCTTGTGTTTTGAGACAAGCTCTCTTACCTGGGGCTTATGAGACTATGCTACTGACTAATGAACCTCCTCTGCCTCCCTAGTGCCCAGCTTTTTCAGTTAGTGCTGGGAACTGAACTTGAGTTTTCATGCTGTGTGGAAGCACTTATCAACTGAGCTATCCCCAACTCTGAGTTATTTCTCCTCTTGTGCAGAACAGCGAAGGAATGCTTAGTGTGGAGAAGCTTTGTAGCTGGCAGGGCTTGTCTATTGGAGTAGGAAGTGTTGAAATGCTGTGTGTTCTGCACTTACATCAAATTTAAGAGACTAGGGGGCTGGAGGGATGGCTCAGTGGTTAAGAGCATTGCCTGCTCTTCCAAAGGTCCTGAGTTCAATTCCCGGCAACCACATGGTGGCTCACAACCATCTGGAATGAGGTCTGGTGCCCTCTTCGGGACTGCAGACATACACACAGACAGAATATTGTATACATAATAAATAAATAAATATTTAAAAAAAATTTAAGAGACTAAATTTCTTATTTCCTGCCACTCATATGTACAGTATAAAGGTTATTCAGTGTTTGTAACATATTTAGGCAACAACAGCAATAGATTGTGTTAGTTTATTTTCTTGTCATTCTGACAAAATAACAAAATCAGGTCTGTTGAGGGTGGTGTGACCCTAGACCTGACAAAATAACAGAAACAACACAAGGAATTTATTTTCATTGTTGTGAAAGGTTCTGGCCACCATGGTAGAGATGGCATGGTGGGACAGCTTAGATTCTAACCCATGAGGTGGAGCCGTTCCACTCAGTTAATTTTCTCTGGAGACACCCTTAGACATCTTCTGAGGTGTGCTCTTCCCCAGTCTCCTAGAATATTCTAAATCCAGTCAAGTTGACAATGAAGATTAACAGTATATTCATCCTGCTTGTTCAAACAAAGCTCTTTCTTTGGGTGCCAAGGATCAGATCTAGGGCTCTGGGCAAGCTAAGTTTGCTCTCTCATTAGCAACTCCCATCTTTCATATTTTTCCAGTATTACAGATAAAAATCCCAGCCCCTGTCTGTCTGTCTGTCTCTGTCTTTCCTGGTGTGTTTGACTTTTCCTATAAAAGTTTATTCTTAGGTATTTCTTATGGGCTTTTATGTACCTGTGTACATTTATTTAGTTGTTTATTTTTAAATTTCTAGAGTATGATGTGTTATAAAGAGCCTTGATGGGAGTAGTTTGGTAGACGATGAAGTTGGAACAGGTTGCAGCTAGATACTAAAGAGCCTTTATACCAAGCTAGAATTTAGATGCTGTGTTCAGAATAGATGCTAATGGATACATTAAATTAAAGCAAGAGTAAAGCATTTTGAAGACGAGATTTTTAAATTAATATGAAATAGGTCAAGAATATAAGGAGTTATAGATTATGCACCTTAATGTATCATTATCACTCAGTTTGGGGGGAGAGAACAATACATTTGAGGCTTGCTGTAGACCCTCCTTAATCATGTGCCCCAGTCTCAGCTTCGGTGTTTGTTCCTAGTCAGCTGGCTGGGGTCCTTTTCGGCCTTTGTAGGCATGGTGAGAGGACTGAAGAAGCTCTTGTCTGACAGCAGTCAGGAGTCCTTGGCCTTTTGCAATAATAGTCTGTTAGAGTTTGCTGTGTGTCCATGCTCAGGAGAACCACTTCTGTTCCTTGTGCCATTGTTGATGCTTCTGCCACTGTGTATGTGCAGGTATTCCTCTTCTGCACACACCAGTGCAGCAAGCGGTGTCTCTGGGTTTGCTTCCTGGCACACTTAACTTCACTTCTGTCACTGAATGAAGTTTAAATCCATCCCTTTGGAACTTTAGGTAATCTTTCCCTAACTTAAATTGACATTTTATCTCCCTAGCCCTGATAGCTTTTCTTTAAAAATGTCTGGTCTGGGGTCAGCAAGATGGTAAAACCAGCTAAGGTTAACTCGGAAGATCTGTTCAGTGCACTACCTCCCTACCGGCGTTCACCACCACTGCCAGGAGGCTGTCTATTTTTTAAGAGGGGGCTTTGCTGTGTAGTTCCGGCTGGTTTGAAATTGGTGATCATCACTCCATCTCACTCTGCAAATACAGAGATTATAAGAGTGTGCTACCACCTTCAAGACAGCTAACTGCCTGTTTTTATATGTCAAAATGATTTAATACTAGCAATTGCATATGGTTTAATCTAATACTTTTCAGAACTCTTAACATCTGTATGACTTCAATTTTTAAATACTTTTTAAAATTTAATTACAATATTTGATCCCTTCCTGAAATTTCCTCTATTCAACCACTCTGTGCCTCTCCTGTGTGCTCTCTCTCAAATTCTTGGCCTCTTTCTTAATTGTTGTTTAATGTTCCTAAATATATAAATACACCGTATCTACATAATATAAAACTACTCATGCTGTCATTTGGTATTCAGCCCCGAGATTGAACTGAATCTTCCTTTTGTCTCCTTTCTGTGTCTGTTCAGTATGTTGGTGAGAGCGAGCGTGCGGTGCGACAGGTTTTTCAGCGAGCCAAGAACTCAGCACCCTGTGTGATATTTTTTGATGAAGTGGATGCTTTATGTCCTCGAAGATCAGACCGAGAAGTAAGTATTGAAGATTTTTTTAATAAAAATTCATAAAAGCCACATTTGTGGAAACATGAAATTTTCTTTCACCTGATTATTCTTCTTGCAAGTTGCTGACACTAGCACTGTGAGCCTCATGTGTGTCCTTTTAGAATTCTTTCAGTATTTGTATAGTTTATAAATAAGTATGGATATTATCTTGATGATCTTATTTTTACCTGTTGTGTACTATTCCATGCCTAGCTATAGCAGAATTTACTTGATAATGCCTTGTTGCAGATATTTATATTTCTTCTAAGTGTTTTTTTACAAGCAGAACTTTCTCAAACATTTGTATCTGCTATCTCTGTACACATATACAAGCAATGTGGGATAGAATTTGGAGAGTATGAGTCACGGTTGAAGATGTATATACATTAGATTTAGATAATATACATTAATATTAGGCTCAGATATTGAAACATAGTAAGTACTGTGTCATGTTTTAAAGAATCTGTCAGTTATGTAATAACCAAGAACAGTATATTACATTAACCATTTCCCACGTCCTACCTAACCTCTTTCTGCCTAGCAATTGGCCGTTCAACTCTTTATTAAACCAGTCACAGTGTTCACACAGTGTAAGGAATATGCTTCAACAACCGTGTAGATTAGGATGACCTCAAACACAGAGATCCATCTTCCTCTGCCTCTCAAGTGTTAGGATTAAAGGCATGCACCACATGGCTAAAATCGAGTGAGTTTTGATGTTATTGTGTCTAGATTATGATGTCTTAATTATTAGTACTATGTCACCAGAGAGTAATAATAAATCTCTACAAGTACATCCTTTTAAAAGAATCAATGGGTTTAAGCACATTGCTGTGTCTATGCATAAATTTATGTTGAAGAAAAGCAATTAATAATAACATATCCATAGCACCACTTTTTTATTTTCTTCATTGTCTATGTAGTCTATTGCTATGTTTCCATATCTCCATAACCTTATACTTGACTTCCTAACTATTCTCTTAGGTGTTGTCCTGAATAGCCATACTTTGTACCATTCATTTCAAGAAAAAGATAAAATTCTTAATGTACTCAATGTTCCTGTATGTATTGCATTGAAATGTGGGACACTTGACATAGGGAGAAATCTAGAGCTTAGAAGCTGAGTTTAGATTTGCCTAAATGGAGGTTATACTAAATACTACTAAATAATTCAGAAGCATAAGATTCATAGGTAGGTTTCATCTCTCCCCTTAAGCAGAGCTAAGACCTTAAACAAGTGACCTCTTCTAAGCTTCAGTTTTTTTCATCCTGACTAACTAGCAGCTTTATTGGGGAATTCACTGATGATTGTGTTTTGCACAGTATCTGTATGTAGTGACTCTTTAAGAATTAGTCACTGGGCCCATCTGCCAGTCTGTCTTTCTTCCTTCTTTTCTTCCTCACTTCTTCCTCCCATCCATACCTTGTTCTCTCTCTCTCATATATATATATATATATATATATATATATTATATAATATTTCTAAAAAGATCCTCTTTGTTGCTCGTATTGACCCCATACTCCTAGATTTAGGTGATCCTCTTGCCTTAGCCTCTGAGTACCTGAGACTTCTGGGTTCAGTCACTGTAATCTTCAACATAAACTCTCATTCAAGTTAGTGCATGTATTCTGTGCAGAGGGAAAATGGAGGAAGGAGGCTGCTTTCTTTATGTTGAAGGGGATGTTTTGTTTTCTGTAGACAGGTGCTAGTGTCCGTGTGGTGAATCAGCTGCTTACAGAGATGGATGGATTGGAAACACGCCAGCAAGTTTTTATTTTGGCTGCCACTAATAGACCAGGTAAGAAAGAAGAACACAAATGCGTTCATAACATGAAATAAAACCTCATACAGCTCTTGTGTGTGCTGCAGTAAAAAAACATTGGGGCTGGAGAGATGCCTCAGTAGTTGTGAACACTCACTCGCCAGGCTGCAAACAACTGTGTGTAACTCTAGTCCCAGGGGATCCCCTGCAAGCATGTGATGCACAGATATATTTGCAGGCAAAACACTGTACACATAAAATAATAATAATCTTTTTAAATTAAAAAAAAATTTCTGATCCTCATGTTTTTTTTTCTATTGACTTCTGTGCTGGTTGTTTTTGTTGTCAATTTGACACAACCTAGAGCCTCCTGGGAAGAGGGAACTTCATTTGAATAGTTAGTTATTCATATTAGTTTTTGGCCATGTCTGTAAGAGATTATCTTGAGTGTTGAACTGTGAGAGGCAACCTCCCTAGGCAGATGGATAAAGACTGTATAAGAAAGCCAGGGCTGGAGAGATGAATCAGAGGTTAAAGCCACTTTTGATGCTCTTGCAGAGGACTCGGGTTCAGTTCCCAGCACCTAACATCTGCTCACAACCATCTATAACTTCAGTTCCAAGACAGCCTATGCTCTCTCTTGGTCTCTGGGCACCAGAGATACACAGTGTACATCTATACATGCAGGAAAAACTCTCATAAAACATACAAAATAAAAATAAGTAAATCTTTAGAAGAAGAGAAAGCTGACAATATGAACAGGTGAGCAAGCCATTAGCAGCATTAAGTGTAAGCCAAATAAATACTTTTTTCCCTAAGTTGCTTTTGGTCATGACAGCGATAGAAAGCACAGCCTTGTGTATACTAAACAAGTACTTTATCAATTACCGAGCTACAAAAAAAACCTCACTCTTTTTTTTTTGTTTTGTTTTGTTTTGTTTTTTTTGCTTTGAGACTGGATTTTTCTGTGTAATAGCCCTAGCTGTCCTGGAACTCTCTTTATAAACCAGACTAGCCTCCAGAGATCCATGTACCTCTGTCTTCTGAGTGCTAGGATTAAAGGCATGTGCTGTTACTCCCCACCAAATCCCAACATTTGTGCTTGTTCATGTGTGTTCATGTACACTGTGAAATTTAAATGACAGCAGATTTATATCAAAAGATAATAAAGGCTAGAGAGAAGTGTTATAATACTTTTCAAGAGCTGAAAAAACTGTCATCTTAGAACTCTGTGTCCAATAAACATGTATTTGGTGTGTGTGTGTGTGTGTGTGTGTGTGTGTGTGTGTGTTTGGTTTTTTATGACATGGTTTCTCTGTAGCTTTGGAGCCTGTCCTGGAACTAGCTCTTGTAGACCAGGCTGGCCTCGAACTCACAGAGATCCACCTGCCTCTGCCTCCCTAGTGCTGGAATTAAAGGCGTGTGCCACCCCGCTCAGCCTCAGAATACTTTCTTATGTGAAGAACTAAGAAAATTTGCCATGAGCCAAGATACTCTAAAAGAATAGCTAATCACTTTATAGTAGCACACTTGCCATGTAGCATACAAAAGGCCCTCAGCTTGCTCTATACTGCGAGGAGAAATAAGGGTGGAAAATAAACATCAGCGAAGAATAATAGAAAGGATGAAATGTAAGTGGATGCAATAGAGAGTTTTCTGTGTGTGTGTTTGTGTGTGTGCGCGTGTGTCTGTGTGTGTGTGCGCGTGTGTGCTTAACTTTGCCTGCATAAACACGAGTTAAAGCCTTTAGTACCTCTTGCACTCACTGTCTTGGTGTAAAGACTACTGAAAAAGATTTGGCTTACAAATGGGTTCTTGGTGGAGAAGTCAAAATTTTATAGTTAGCCTCAGTGTTGTGGCTGTATGAAGCTCAGCCCTGTGCTGTAGCTACTCAGAGTCAGGAACACAAAGGCACATAAGACAGTTTTGAGTTCGAGACCAGCCTGGTCTACAGAGCTAGTTCCAGGACAGGCTCCAAAGCTACAGAGAAACCCTGTCTCGAAAAACCAAAAAAAAAAAAAAAAAAAAAAAAGACAGTTTTGATAAGTAGTAGCTTTTGATTTGTGTGGAAGGATATTTGTGCATGCATGTATGTGGAGAACAGCGCAAGGTGTCTTCCTCAATCTTCACCTGCATTTCAAACAGGATTCCTTGCCAAACGAGGAACTCATTATGGCTCGATTAGCTGACCAGGATCCTCTCATCTCTGCCTTCCCAGTACTGATGTTATAGGCAGTTGCTGCCATACTTTGCTTTTTATATGAGTTCTGGGAATTTGAACTTAGGTCTTAGTTCTTGCATTGTAAACATTTTACCAACTAAGTCACTGTCCCAGCCCCAGACCTTTTGGCTTTAACCATACCCAATTAACCAAAAATTTTAGCTTTTTTTAAAAAAGAACTTTCTGTCTTTTATTAATTACATTTTTAAAAAAGAACTATTCTATTTGGCTTATTTTTGTATTTCTCTCTTCTCTAGATATCATTGACCCCGCCATTCTGCGCCCAGGCCGGCTGGACAAAACACTCTTTGTGGGTTTGCCACCCCCAGCAGATCGTGTTGCCATATTAAAGACTATCACAAAAGTGAGTAAAAGAAATGGCTTTCTTTTGTTATGTTTATATTGTTTAAAAATGTTTTTATTTTGGCCTTGCGCTGGTGGCACACGCCTTTAGTCCCCAGCACTGGGGCAGGGGGGCAGTTCGAGATCTGCCTAGAGCTAGTTCCAGGACAGGCTCGATAGCTGCAGGAAAACCCTGTCTCGAAAAATCAAAAACAATCAAACAAATAAATAAATAGAATTTTTAAAGATGTTTTTATTTTGTTTTATATATATGTGTGTGTCTGCATGAATTTATGTGCACTAATATAAGCAGTTGCCTAATAAGGTCAGAAGGAATCAGCTCCTGGGGACTGGAGTGACTCGCAGTTCTGAACCTCATCATGTGAGTGTAGCACGAATAATAAAAATCCAGAGACAGATATTGGGGTTCAACCTGACAATCAGAAGAGCAAAGCAGCCAGCCACTGGCTCTTACTTCTACTTCAGACCAAAATGGCTATTCTGCCTCCGTGAATCCTCAGGATGAGACTGAGCCTAAGACCTGTCTCCTCCCCTCTAGTGCTGGGATTAAAGGTATGCACCACTACCACCCTGGTTCTATGAGTAACTAGTGTGGCTGTTTTACTTTCTGATCTTCAGGCAAGCTTTATGAAAATACAAATCACTGCAGGTATTGGGAACTGAGCCCAAGTCTTCTGCAAGAGCAGTAAGTGTTCTTAACCACTGAGCCATCTCTCCAGCCCTGCCCATATTACTTTTAATGTTATACCAGGTAGTAATTTAGGTTAGCTGATTGATTACTCTCTTTCTATAGCTTAAATGTTTGCCAGTCTTCCTTCTCCCAAAGTGAGCTGGTTTTGATCACTGAACACAATGCCCAGTCTCATTTTTCTATTCAAAATGAAGGTAAACTAAATGAAGGATTAAAGTTAGTGTTAAATAGTGTTATCAGATATCACTGTAGTCATGTTCCTGTGTCTTTAAATCTTTGATCATTAGATTCTGTCTGGAGTAGGATGTTTTGGAGGAAGTAAAACAAGTAAATACAGGTCCATCAGGAACATTCAAAGACACATTGAGACTTGAAGTCTTCATAATGACTTCTGGTTTTCTGAGTTAGCATAGTTAGCTTTGTTGTTGTTATTGTTACTGTTATTGAAGCTTTGTTGTTGTTATTGTTACTGTTATTGAGACGCTGGTCTCAGCACATGATCTATACTTAGCCTGGAACTTGCTAAGTAGAACAGGCTGACCTTGAACTCATTGAGATCTGCCTGTCTCTGCCTCCTGCATGCTAGAATTAAAGGTGTGCACCACCATGCCTGGCCTTCATAGTTTTTTGTTTGTTTGGTTGGTTTTTGTTTGTTTTTTTGTTTGGTTTTTTTTTTTTTTGAGACAGGGTTTTCTGTATAGCCCTGGCTATCCTGGAACTTGCTCTGTAGACCAGGCTGGCTTCACAGATCCGCTTGCCACTTCTTCCAGAGTGCTAGGATTAAAGGCATGTGCCACTGCTGCCCAGCTGGAAGTCATAGCTTTTTAAAGTCAGCCTGAAGAGGCCTCACTGTGTAACCCAGGCTGTCTTTCAGGTTGTTGCATTTCTGCTTTCTAGGTACAAAGATTATATATATGTGCCATCACAGCAGCCATACTTCATTTTAGATACTTACGTCATTAATGAAACAATCAGCCCTTGGTATTGCTCTCCTACTGCCCAGTGTTTGTTCCTTGTAAATCTTTGTTCAGTTTTGTCACGTTGGCATCTGTTTGGTAGGCTTGGTGTCCGTGCTGTGTTCCAGTAGACCTCGAACTCGAAGCAGCACTTTCGTCATAGTTTGTTGTTTGTTTGTTTGTTTGTTTTTCCCAAATACACTTTCTAGTTTCTTTATTTTGGTTGATCCTATACCTATGTCATCATTGGGTCTATTCTACTTCTTGGTAGTTTATTCAGCTGTATTCCCAAAATTATTTTCAGATTAAGAATCGTTATTTTTTGTCTTTATAATCCAATGATAGGTTATCTGGGAATAATTTTTCCTACGTCATATAATCTCTCCATTGATCTTTGTAGAAATTGTAATGTGATTTGTTGTCATTTGTTTTGTTTTTTGATGGTCTCATGTAGCATGTCGTGTTACAATTTACTATGTAATGAGGTGACTCTGAATTCTGATCCTCTTGCATCCGCCCCCAAGTTCTGGGATTATAGGCTGGATAACTTAGGTATAGAACACTCATAGTTGCTCAAATATGCTGATATGTGAAGAAAATTATTCTGGGTCCTCATGAACAGACAGAGGATATGTTGAATTCTGTCTTCAGAGCATCCTGTCACCATCATGGTAAAAAGCCCGTTGGAATGAGCCAGAGCAAACCAGGTTGTCTCTTGTCAGCTGCAGGACAGAACGCAAGCCCAGTTCATTAAGTCCAGTGTTAGGAAAGGTCACTCTGAGCAGATCCTGGGTCTGTGAATGCCAGCTTGACCATGAATAGAATTTAGGTATTGAGAAATATATATAAGAATTGTCCTCAGATTATACCTGGTGAATTTGTTCCTTATGATTGAGTTTTTGATTAGAAAGTAGATTTCGGGTAGAAGTCTCTAATGGCACATGAGATATATATGGGAGGTTCGATGTGCTGTGTGCTCGTCAAGGTTAGATTGAAAGATTCTTTTGAACATTAAAGCCTCTCATAGCAGCTCCTGCCCATTGGGCTGCTTCCCAACCCCCAACTCAATCTCCTCCAATATTGGCTGAAGGTGCTTACCATGGTGGTGTTAACAAGGGTAACAAGATTGTCTCACTTTGGTGACACTTGGAATGTTCCAGTCCTTCTGCATAATAAATCACTATGGTACAATCACCAGTACTATGTAAACAACTTTCCCCTCTGTCCTTCTAATTATATCACAGAATTATAGGACTCTTTTGTAGATGAGATACTAATTTGTTTTTTAAAACATTTTAAAAACAAGAGTCACTGGAGGCAGAGACAGGCAGATCCCTCTGAATTCACGGCCAGCTTGATCTACAAAGTAAGTTCTAGGATAGCCAGTGATACACAGTGAAACCCTATCTCTGTCTTAGTTAGGGTTATTTATAGCTGTGGAGAGGCACCAGGACCACGGCAACTCATAAATAAAAGTATTTAATTGAGATGGCTCACTTACAGTTTCAGAGGTTCAGTCTATTATCATCAGGATGGGGAGCGTGGAAGCATGCAGGCAGGTGTGGTGGTGGGGCTGAGAGTTCTACATCTTGACTCAGAGACAACAGGAAGTTGACTGTTGCACTGTGTGAAGCTTGAGAGGAGACCTCAAAGTCCACCCTTATAGTGACACATTCCCGACAAGGCCACACACACCTCCTAATAGTGTCACTCCGTTTGGGGGCCATTTTCTTTCAAACTATCATATTCCACTCCCTGGTTTATATTGCTGTAATGAAATACCATGACCAAAAGGCAAGTTGGGGAGGAAAGGGTTTATTAAGACTTAGCATTGCTGTTCACCACTGAAGGAAGTCAAGACAGGAACTCAAAACGGGGCAGGATTCCTGAAGCAGGAGCTAATGCGGAGGCCAGGGAGGGGAGCTGCTTACTCGCTTGCTTTTTGGTCATGGTATTTTTGTTGCAGCAGTAGAAATCCTGAGGGGCTGGAGACATGGCTCAGTGGTTAAGAGCATTGCCTGCTCTTCCAAAGGTCCTGAGTTCAATTCCCAGCAACCACATGGTAGCTCACAACCATCTGTAATGGGGTCTGGTGCCCTCTTCTGGCCTTCAGGAATACACACAGACAGAACATTGTATACATAATAAATAAATAAATATTAAAAAAAAAAGAAATCCTGAGACAGTCTTGAAAAACCAGGGGAAATAAAAGAACACAACAACAACAAAAAAAAAAAACACTATAGTGGAGCTGGTAAGATGGGTCAGAGGGTAAAGGCACCGCCTCCAAGCCTGAGGACCTTTGTTTTCAGTCCTCAGAACCCACATGATGGAAGGAAGGAAACAACTCTTAGACATTTCTCCAGCCTCCACCTGAATGCAGTGGCATGTATGCACCCATATAGCCACATAAAGAACTTTTTAGTTAAAAATTTAGTTTTTGGATTTTAAAGTCTTTCATGTATATGAATTGACTAGCCATGCTGTGGCCATGGATGCCAGAAGAAGGTGTCAGATCTCCCAGAATTGGAATTATAGATGATTGTGAACCACCATGTGTGGGTACTAGAAATCAGACCGAGCTTCTCTTGGAAGAGCAGCCAGGGCTATTAACCACTAAACCATCTCTTTAGCCTCCGCAAAAGTATTTTTTAAAACTATGTAGTGTTTGATTCTGCCATGTAATCTACTTAGAATATTACTAAGGCTGATTTGTGTGTATAGTGCTTATGTTCCGTGTTGAAATTCTGAACTTTTCTGATTCTTGTCATTTTTAGCATCTGTAATTATGAACTGGGAGGAATTGGCTCCTTGGGTTTTAGATAAGGGATTAAAAAGCAACATGGTTTTGTTTTGTTTTTTGGTTTGTTTTGTTTTTTTTTGTTGTTGTTGTTTAAAAAGACATGTCATACTAATTTCTGACCTCTACATGAGTATACAGAAGAAAATACAAACAAACAAATAAATAAGTACAACTTCTTGGGGGTCCTGTGTAGAGCAGGCTCCTTTTGATCTCAACAAGTTGGGTTCAGTATTACTCTCCTTGTAGTCAGTCCTATAACACAAATTCCTCCAACTCCATGAGTATCAGTGGTTTGCCTTTACAGCTTCTTGCACGTCAGCCTGCCTCTTACCCTAGTTCTCCAGATTGAACTCAGTGCTCTCTACATTGATTGTGGAGTTGGTTCTCCTCCCTTAGTCATCAGCCTTTCCTCTTCTTTAAAAACCAGTGAGTGATGTGCATGCATGAATCTTTAATGCCTCAAACAGCTCACTTTTCTCTCTTATTCAGAATGGCACCAAACCTCCACTGGATGAAGATGTAAATTTGGAAGCAATTGCCAATGACCTTCGTTGCAATTGCTATACGTGAGTATTTAAGTCTCTGGTCTCTTATACCCCTCTGGAGTATAGTTTCTTCATCAACAGGAAAGAAAAAGATGCCCATTTCTTAGGTTGGAAAAACTAAGGAGGTTTCTTGTGTAGCACCTTATGTAGTGTCTGTCTGGCTCTTGCTGCTTCCTTCTCAGAGGACAGCTTACCTGTGCGTTTGGATGCTAAATTCCTGACATAGACTGTTCCTGTTGGTACTCAAGCTTCCCTGGCCACATTGTTACCTTTCACTGTTAGTTCTACTTTCAGAATATGTAAAGCATGTGCCTTTCACTAGATAGCATTTTCTTTAAGTACATCTGCACAATGGAGGTTAATCTGCATACATGTGCACATTGAGCCTGCAACAACAGCATGACACCTGATATTTCTATCATATTAAAGCCCTGTTGTTTGTCCCTAACATCTTTGGTACTTAGTATTTGCCCCTAGAGCAAGGGTCAGATAATACTGGACTTCCCACAAAAAGTAAGGTGAATCAGTGTTTTCGTCATTGAGGGCTTCAGTGCTGTTGCTCAGCAGTGTAAACTTAGCTTCCAAGAGCTAGTCGTGAATGGTAACGTAGACACTTGATTATTTGATACCTGGAAATGATGTTTTGTTCGAAAGAATTTTTGTGGATCATGTTAAAGCTGAGTGTAGGAAAGCTCCAGGCAACACTGATGTTTCATTGCCTTCTTAGGACTCTGCTGACCCAACCTGTGATTATTACTTGGAATAATTATATAAAGAAACTTTGTGTGTGTGTTGGGGGGTGTACACATTCATCCAGGTGTACAAGTGCCTGTGGGGGTCAGAGAACCTTAGGTGCTTGGGTGTTGTTCCTCAGCCTCCTTGTTATTTGAGACAAGGTGGGTTTTGGTTTTGGTTTTGTTGTTGTTTTAAATACTGGAGCCCATGCCTATTAGACTGAGCTGACTAAGCTCATCAGTGAACACCAGGGATCTGCCAGTCTGCCTTTGACTGGGTTTCTTTTTCTTTTTCCTTTCCTTCTTCTTTTTCTTTTTTTTTTTTTTTAAATGTAGTTTCCATGAATTGAATTCAGGTCATTGTACCGTAGCCTCTGGGTAGATGTTTTATATCAACATTAATATCTATGGCTAAGTTTTATTTTTTATTTTTCATTGTATCATACTTTCCACAAATTTCTTTCTTTTAAAGGTTAAAAGTTCTCTAAATGAAAGCTAAAAGCTTTTTCCTGCTGTTCCTAGTCAGTTCGTCCCACCTTCATTCATTACTTTTTCCTCATTGTTAAGTATAATTGAGCATCTTTTAGAATACCTAAGAATGCCTAAGAACATGTCTTTTATTACAGGGGTGCAGACCTCTCTGCTTTGGTACGAGAAGCTTCTCTCTGTGCCCTGAGACAAGAAATGACCAGACAGAGGAGTGTGATTGGAACAGGTATGAGGCTCTCTGAGGTCTCTCCATTCTAGTTTATCAGTCTGGATATTTAACAGCCCTGCTGCCTTTCAGGTGTTGCTTTTCTAGCATTTCGTAAAACAGTGTGTAATAAAGATGCCTGTTGGATGAGACCTTTAGGAACTGCTGTGGAATATTATGTACACTCGACGTGATAGTCGTTATTTAGTCCCTCTTAATAAGCAGATTGTATTCTGTCAATATACACAGGTGATTAGATAGAGGCAAATGTGATCGTTCACTGCCATTATCATGAGTGTGCTTCTTAACAATTTGGAAAATCTTGATTCTTTTACTAAAATACAACCCACTTGCCTGTTAAAATTCAACCAAAATTGTAAAGATTAAGAAATACCTAATTTTTCATATATCAAGATTTTCCTTTGAAGTATAAAATCAGATGACAACTTTTATCGCTCAGTGACAGAAATTTTCTTAGCATGTGCAAGGCTCAGGATTCTTTTTCTATCACCACAAAAGCCAGAAAGTCCAAAGACAAAATCCATGTATTCTCTTATGGATGATATGGTCCCTTTTCAACACATTTGTTGTTTACCTCACATTTTAATAGTATTTTCGGTGTTACTATTTGGGTATGTGTGGCCTAAATGATTCATTTGTGACCTGTATTCCTGCAATGCCTAGTACAGAAGTAGCCCTTTCTCTGCCTGGGTGTCTCTTGAGTGCTTTGTAGTGTACAGATGTGCTCTCATGGGAACTTCAAGTGTGTACTTGAGTTTAAAAGTCTCCTTTTAAGCGTGTGTGTTTATGTCTGTGGTGGTCAGGTGGGGGAGAAATGTGCACATGAATGCAGGTACCCTCAGAGATCACAGGGACTGGAGTTAGAGGTGGTTGTGAGTCCCCTGACATGGGTACTGGGAACTGAATTCAGGTCTTCTGTAAGAGCAGTGTGCACTCTTAGTCCTGAGCCACCTCTCCTGCTCCACTTCCACGAATCTTTTATTTTTTTAAATATTTATTTATTTATTATGTATACAATATTCTGTTGGTGTGTATGCCTGAAGGCCAGGAGAGGGCACCAGATCTCATTACATCTGGTTGTGAACCACCATGTGGTTGCTGGAAATTGAACTCAGGACCTTTGGAAGAGCAGGCAATGCTCTTAACCGCTGAGCCATCTCTCCAGCCCCCCACTTCCACGAATCTTTTTTTTTTTTAATATTTATTTATTTATTATGTATACAATATTCTGTCTGTGTGTATGTCTGCAGGCCAGAAGAGGGCACCAGACCTCATTCCAGATGGTTGTGAGCCACCATGTGGTTGCCGGGAATTGAACTCAGGACCTTTGGAAGAGCAGGCAATGCTCTTAACCACTGAGCCATCTCTCCAGCCCCTACTTCCACGAATCTTAAAGCTAAATATTGTTACAGCAATGTAGGCTTAGCATACATAGATTTATTGGCACACTTGCATATATTTATTAGGGTATTTTTGGGGGTGTTTTTGGTTTTTGTTTACTAGATAATGCTAAGATTTAGTTATCAAAACTTCTTTTTTTTAGAAACTACATTCTGTTCCTTTTGGAAATTATTGATGATAGGCAAACTTAGAATATTTTATGGACAAAAATCAGAGCTTCGTTTGGTTGTGTACCTGTAATCTTTTTTTTTTTTTTTAAATATTTATTTATTTATTATGTATACAATATTCTGTCTGTATGCCTGAAGGCCAGATGAGGGTGCCAGACGTCTTTACAGATGGTTGTGAGCCACCATGTGGTTGCTGGGAATTGAACTCAGGACCTTTGGAAGAGCAGTCAATGCTCTTAACCACTGAGCCATCTCTCCAGCCCTGTACCTGTAATCTTAATGCTAAAGAAGCCAAAGCAGAAGGGTCTTAAGTTCATGGGTCACATGATAAGGCTCTGTTATATCTTTCTTGCTCCCACCTCCCACGCCACCAATTCCAAAAATCATATATGCTACTTTGTAAGCTGAATCTTACCACTTTCTTAGGGTATATCGGTGACTACAAGTTAGCAGGTCTTTTCTCATGTATTGGAGTTGCTACTCAATTTTCTGGTTGTTGCTTATATGCACATATAACGAATTCTGCCATTTCTGCTTTGCTGTGGCTTTCATTTTTAGCTACCTGGTTTTTAGAGACTTTGTAACCTTGCCCAAACCATATCTAACCCTGCTATCTAACTGATCAGTGATGTGTTCAGCAACATGTAGTACTTTGTTTTAGATAACTCGGTTATCCTAATATCTGTTTACTATTTTGAGTATAAATTGTTATCACTTAAGTTATCTTGTTAACATTGTAAACCAAGTTATATTTTAACATTTAGCTATTTTATCACTTAACCTGATAAAAATTACAACCCTTTCTAATCCATTTTGTGATGTACATGTCTACCCTTAGTATTTTTATCTTAGAGAACATCTAGCCTTTGTTTCTCAGTAGTGTGATTTTGTGTTCAAGAATATACCCTAGGGTAATAATACAGGTTGCTGGTTATTTCTAGTTCTATTGGCCATCTCTACTTAAAAATCCCTTATCGATTCTACCTGAGACCACACTGGCCATTTTTGATGGTGTGAGCAGCCTTCACAGCTTGTCTTCAACTGTTTTTCTTCCATCCCAGTATCCCTAAGAGACAGAGTGGTTACTAGCAGTCCTGTTTCCCCAAATGAATGGAGAGATTCTCATTGAGGCAGGGCTGGGGAGGGGCATATGTAAACTCAGTCTTTCTAGTTAATGGGCTGTACTGAGGTGTGTATTTGTGCCTTCCTCCACAGGTGAGCTCATGGTCAGCCATAAACATTTTGAAGAAGCTTTCAGGAAAGTAAAGCCATCTATATCAGTAAAGGTGAGAAACTTTCCTCAGTGTCTTGAAAAGAGGACGGAAATTACATCTGTGAATAGGAACTTAGAAATTTTGTTAATTTATTTTTTATTGAGCAGTGGTCTCTTTTTATGTCCTAAGCTAGCCTCAAACTCATGAGCCTCCTGCTTCAGCCTTCCAAGTGGCAGAATTACAGACATGTGCCACAAGACTCCTTCACGGGCACATATAATAGCAGCCAAAACCTTAACTGTCATATTGTGAAATGGTATAGCTACTTGAACAAAACATCTCTCAAGTTTATTATTAAATAAAAAGCTTAGGAATTGTGTCTGCAATATGCTAAGTATAGGAATGTGTCTCTGTATGCTATTTATGTTACAAAGGTGAAATAATTAGTTGTAGTTTTGCTTATGTTTCCAGAAGGAGAGGTTTGGAAGGAGAGGTTACAGTATAGGAGAGGTTACAGTACATTTACTTTGTACGCGTCTGCCCGTGCGCTCATGCCAGCCTGTTGGAGTCAGTTCTCGCCTACCACGTGGGGACTTAGGTCACCAGGCTTGGCAGCAACTGCCTTCATCCACTGGGCCATCTTCCTGGCCTAAGTATACATATTTCTAACACTTCATATGCATATTTTTAACATTTCTGACCTTTTTGCCTATCCAGAGGAAAATTTAATGGAATTGACTTTGTTTACTCATGGTTTTTGATGTTGTTTGTTTAGGTTTGGGGTGTGTGTTGTGTGTTATTTTGATTTTGTTCGTTTGTTTGTTTTGGTATTTGAGACAGCCCAGGCTGATCTCGAACTTCCTGTCTAATTGAGGATAACGTTGAATTTCTGATCCTCCTGTCTATACCTCCCAGTGACCACATTACAGACATATGCCACCACATACTTCGCTTTATGTGGTGTTAGAGGTTAAAGCCAGAGCTTTGTGTCTACCAGGCAACCAGTCTGCCAGAAGAGCTACATTCCCAGTCTGTGTCTGGTTTTTGAGGCAGGGTTTTACTCTGGCCTGGGCTGCCGTGAGCTCATGATGATCCTCTATTTGAGACTCCTGAGTGTGAGATTGTAGGCACGAGCCATCCCACCTAGCAAAATTGGCTTTTCTTAAATAGATTTTTCTTTTATTCTTTACATTTATTTGTGTGTGTGTTTTGGCGTTGGGGGGTTGAGGGGGCTAGGGGAGTAATACCTGTACTACGACATGCAAGCAAAAGTCAGATGTCTTAAGAGTTGTATCTTCCTCTCATGTGGACTGTAGGATTGAACTCGGGTTGTTGGTCTGGCAGTAAGCGCTTTCATCTTATGAACTGTCATGCTGGCCCCAGGATATATTCTAAATAGCTGGAAGTAAATAGAACACATTGTAAGTTTTCCCTTGGGATAAATAGGTAGGAGTAGCATTGCCATCTAACTGTGGGGGAGGTCAATATAGTGACAGTGACCTACTGCATACCTACTGGATTGACAGGGAGTTGAGGATGTGAGATGCTAGATGTCTCATATTTTTTTTTACATTTTTTTTAATGTTTAATGCTTTCAGCCTGCTTTATGGCTGTCTTTTTTAATATTTATTTATTATTTATTGTGTATACAATAGTCTATCTGTGTGTATGCCGAAGGCCAGAAGAGGGCACCAGACCTTATTTTTTTTTTTTAAACATTTATTTATTTATTATGTATACAGTATTCTGTGTGTATGCCTGCAGGCCAGAAGAGGGCACCAGACCTCATTACAGATGGTTGTGAGCCACCATGTGGTTGCTGGGAATTGAACTCAGGACCTTTGGAAGAGCAGGCAGTGCTCTTAACCACTGAGCCATCTCTCCAGCTCCCTAGCACCAGACCTTATTACAGATGGTTGCAAGCCACCATGTGGTTGCTGGGAATTGAACTCAGGACCTTTGGAAGAGCAGGCAATGCTCTTAACCACTGAGCCATCTCTCCAGCCCCTAGATGTCTCATATTTTGTACTGGAAGCTGGAACAGTCACGTTGGGAACCATTCTGGCAGTTTCTTGGAGTGTTAACACACTTTAGAAGCGTTTACTCTTGTCTCCTGTTTCCCTCTGGACTCAGGGTAGTTTATAGATCAGTGTCTCCTGGCCTGGTTTGCAAACTTCCTAGACAGTGATGGATTGTGGCACATCCTAGAAGGGAGCATGTGGAGACTCAGGATGCAGGAGCAAGGCAGAATCACTGGGCCCACAGCTGGGGCTTCTCTAACCAGTGCCGTAGATGAGAGTTGTAAACAGTAGAGATTGTGTTTTCACCCTGGTCTCAACCAGACATCTGAGATCAAGGTGCTGTCTTGTCAGAGTTCTGAGGTTTCTGTCCCGCAGGTGTCGTCTTCGTCCTGTCTTCACATGTCCTTCGTTGTGCATTCTGTGTGCAAACTTCCTCTTGTACAATAACCCCAGTCCTGTGGGACTGAGGTTTTACCCTAACCACCTCTGCAGAAACCCTGTCTGCAGGGACAACCACACGCTGAGGTCCTGGGGCTAGGGCTTCAATATAGGAGTTTGCTGGTCACACGTCTTACCCCATAACTGATTGGTCAGCACTATATGGTGTTTTCTGTCCTCACAGGATCAAATGATGTACGAAGCTCTGCAGAGGTCCCTCAGTCAGTGACGTTTGCAGTACCTGGCATAAAGGTGTCCAGTGCATGGAACTCACCAAGAATCACCCTTCCTCTGAAGGGTCTGTTCTCAGCCTGACACAGATGACTTCATTATAAGCATTTTATTTTCAAATTATTGAGACCCAACTGGAGAAGATGATGTTTCCCATCTGACCAACTTTGTGGAAAAACTACCTACCTCTTCATTAAGAAAAAGAAAGAAAAGGGGACTGATAAAGCCTTTTTCAAATAAAATTTTATTTTGAAATATCTTGATCATATGTAAAGTTACAAAAAACTTTTTCTGAGAAGTGGTCACCTCACTCCTCATCACCCCAGATACACATTCATGTAGGTTTTCTGTAAACCAAGATATTTTCCTATATAACCAACTGGTCAAAAACACTGACACATTGCTGCTATTATCTATTTCCAGCCGTCTTTCTCAGCTGCTCTAATGTCATTTCTAGTAAAAGGGTCTAGTCTAAATTAGCTATTCCAGTGTGTTAAGTCTTTTAGTTCCCTTAAATAGTTTCCAACAGTTTTTTTTTCTTATTGGGTTTTTGTTTGGAAACAGTTTGTATGTATCCTTGACTTGCCTGGAATTTATATTTAGAATAGGCTGGCCTCCGCCTCCTACGTGTTCTGTGTGCCCCCAAAGCCTTTTGGAGTTCATAGGTCAGTGATTGGGTTCACTTAGTTTGCATCTTTTTGAAGATAGAGTAATTAAACTGCACTGTCTTGGGTGGTAATGTAATTTCATTGTCACTGAAGACCGTCACTCTGGTCACGTGATTCAAGGGCTTCTGATAGGCTTCTTTGTAGGAAGGTGTTTTCACCTCTTACACATGCATTCCACCCTCACAAGATTCAGAGTATAATGTTTTTTAATTTATCATTCATTTTCGTGATTTGATTTTCAGATTGTCTCAGATTGTGTCTTTAGTGGATTTCTAAGATGTTTTGTAAATGATTTTGTATCATGATTATTTCGTCAAACCATTTAATTGTTGCTGTCTAAAACAGGTCTAATTACTTCATTTTCTTCCTAAGTTTTTATTCTATCTCATTGTACAAAGTCTTTGAGATTACTTTTAAGAATGTTATTGATGGGGCTGGAGAAATGACTTAGTAATTAAGAGTACATAGTGCCCTTTTAGAGGACAAAGTGTGATTCCCAGCTCTTACATAAGCAGCTCAACACTGCCTGTACTCCCAGCTCCAGGAGATCCTACACCTCCAGCTTCCATAGGCACCTGTGCTCACGTACATGCAAACCCCCCCCCAACACACACAACACACACTTTTTAAAAAAATATATATATATATATTTTTTTATAAAAAAATGAGATTGATAATGTGTTGACAAGATGGCCCAGCAGGTAAAGGCACTTGCTACCAAGCCACACAACCTGATTTTGATCCTGGAGACCCACATGGTAGAAAGAAAGAACTAAGTCCTGAAAGTTGTACTCTGACCTCTAGGTGTGTCTCTCACACATACATATAAATATATAAATTGGAAAAATATGACTGAAATAAAATCAGGTTTACAAAGGTCAACAAGACTCCTTTTTCTTGACTTCAGAGAAGTTTGCAGGTACTAAACAAAATGACACTGTTCAATGAAGGACATAAAGGAGAACGATATTAGATCCCAGGAGACCAACGGAGGCTAGAAGAAAAAACAAACCAGGATCAGTAGAGGTAGATAATTGAGGATGAGCGGGAAATTAGGAGTAAATGCCGGAAAGCCTTAAACAGTAAACCTGAGCAGTTGAGTCTGATGCTGTACTTACTACATGCCCAAAAGAAAACACCACCTGGCATATCAGAGGTCTTCTGATAACCAAATGCTGGGTCCAAGCACATTTTACTTGTGGTAGCCTGGACATAAATGCAGACCGTATAAGGGCTGTGGCACAAGTTGAACAGAAGTCAGTTACTGAGCAGAAAATAGATTCCAGCATGTCTGCAAATGACATTTTTGAACATGCTCTATATACTGCTTGACACTCCTATGTGTTCTTATGATGTTCTCAACTCAGTGAGGTCTGTTGACATCCTATTTTTTCATATCATTTTATAAAAATGAAGATTGAGATTTTTCTAATACTACAGCCTAAATAGTCTGGCTATAACTGCTGAAGAAGATCCATCCTGTTTAGAAACATCTGGAATTGCATCTATTGTCCTCACCAAAGATTTAGCCATCTTAAATACATTTTGTAGCCAAATATGGTGTCACATGCCTTTAATCCCAGCACTTGGAGGTAGACGGATGGACCTCCCAGTTCTAGACCAGCAAAGACTGTATCATGAAACTGTCTTTTGTAAAAAAATAAAAACAAAAAAAAAATTTTGTGTCAGACACTGCTGACATGATGAAGGAGCAACCTCAGAAGAACTTTTTTGCCTAATTTGGTGTGGGCCAGATACTGCTAATTGTTCCTTGATACCCATTGTAATTTCCTTTCCCTTTTGTTAAGAAGAGCCTAGAAACCCGGGGTTAGTGAAGTTGTGGGTCGCAGAAGAGAGCATACTACCACCACATAGACTAGCATAACCTCTAACTGCATTCTGGAGCATACTCTCAGATAAGTATAGCTCTCACCCCACATCCAAGAAGCTTCTCTTTGCAGCAGAGCCCATTACAGAAAACTACAACTGGCCATAGTGCAAAGACTTGTTTGGTTCCCAGCCCCAGCAGATACATCTACAGCACAACTCCTGGACCCAAGGCTCAGGGAATAGCAAGGAAGAGAGAGTGGAAGATTGTTAAGAGCCAGAAGATCAGAAGTCTGCTGTGAGATTGTGTCTCTTAGACACGACAAGGAAGCTACACCTGTGACACCCTAACAGTATGCTTGCCTAACAAGACCTGAACAATAGGCAGCTAAGGACTGCTGAGAGAGTTCATCTCTCCCAGGGATGAGCCTCCCTAGTTGGTTATCGTAATCCAATAAAAAGTGACCAGTCCTGAAATGTTAAACTGATTTAACAGATTGATAGACTGTATTTGTGTGTGTGTGTGTGTGTGTGTGTGTGTGTGTGTGTGTGTGTGTAAAACAAAAGGCAAGCAGTTCAAGAGTGACTGGGGAGCCGGGCGGTGGTGGCGCACGCCTTTAATCCCAGCACTCGGGAGGCAGAGGCAGGCGGATCTCTGTGAGTTCGAGGCCAGCCTGGTCTACAAAGGGAGTTCCAGGACAGGCTCCAAAGCTACAGAGAAACCCTGACACGAAAAAAAAAAAAAAAGTGACTGGGGGTTGATGGGAAATGTTTGAGAAAGGGAAGGGGAAAGTGATATAATTTTTACAAAGTTAACTATGACCAAAACCTAACGATGATATCATTGTAGTTTTTTCCTTTATAAATGCTGCATCCCTGAGCTTTGGATCAACAGTTCTTTGTGACAAGAGCCTGCTCTCTATATTAAATAAAGAACCCTTAGTTGGTCTTGTATACATAGTGGTCTGTAACTTTCTTCTTTGGACTATAACAGATAAACTGCTGCTGGAAGCCCACAGCACCAGATCACACAGTTGGGGTAAAATCCTTCAGAGCCAGCTTTTACTGTTTTCAAGTTGATTCATCTCTGGTATGCTGACCACTGCAGAATGTCACACATTAGATAAGAATTTCCTAAAGAGTTTAATCATGCAGGGATCAGAACTATGAGGTAGTAGGAATCCCAAGTCACAAGTCTTAACCTCCCTAGGATTTGAGTTTTTGATTATGAGGTAAAGAAGCAGTAGGGCAGTCTGGAGTGGTAACGGCCTGTAATCCCAGCCTTTGTTAGGCTGAGGCTAGAGGATGTTCCACATCAATTTGGACTACATCATCTAGGCCTTCCTGGGCTACATAGTGAGACCCTGCCTCAGAACAAGAAAAAAAAAAAAACAAATAATGTAAAGCAAAATGAAAAAGTAGAGGTTTGGGTTGTTGTTGGTGGAGGTGGTGGTTTGTTTTGTTTCTTCATAGCCTTTGAGCCAAGAGAGCTTAGCATAGGGAAGGACTTGGCTGCACCGAAACAGTTCCACCAGTGTCTACACAAAGGGAGCTAAAGAGGCCCTGGATTACCTTGAATAAAGACAACTTGGGCCTGTGTGATATGGTCGTCTGTTGTGAATGACTAACTTCCAAACCAAGAAACTGCCATTTGATGATTTGCCCATACAGGGGCAACTTGTGGTTAAGAATCTATGACCTCATTTACACACAGCCTGTCCATGCAGGTTAAGCATATTAACACTTACTATGTTCTATTAGCAGAGGCTGCTTGTTCATTTCCTGGCCACCTAGACCCAAAATAATCACACAAAAACTATATTAATTAAAACACCGCTCAGCCTATTAGCTCAGGCTTCTTATTAACTAACTCTTTCATCTTAAATTAACCCATCCCTATTATTTTGTATTTTACCATGAGGCTTATAGTTTATCGGTAAGGTTCCATGGTGAGCATCCGCCTTTCTCCTTTAGCAGCTACGTGGAATCTCCTTGATTCCACCTACTTTTCTCTATTTCTGCTTGGAATTCCTGCCTTGATCTAGTCTGCCCTGTCATAGGCCCAAAGAAGCTAATTTATTGATTGACCAATGGTAACAAAACTCATTCACAGCATACAGAGGGGAATCCCATATCACCTATCAAGCCTGACATGGTTTAGACAGCATCATTAGTTGGGGCTAGGCATTGCTCCATATGCTTTTAGTTCATTGAAGTTTCACAACCTTAAGATGGCTGAAGACATCCACACTGAGTGCAAGCGTCTCAAGGGAATAAACCTCTAGCAGTACACAGATTTATTATTAATCATGAAAGCTCGGCCTTAGCTTTGGCTTGTTTCTAACTAGTTCTTATAACTTAAACTAACCTATGTTCTGTCACGTGGCTCATTACCTTGTCTCCGTACTGCCCATCTTGCTTCTTCCATGTCTGGCTGGCGACCACACCTTTCTTCGTCCCAGAGTTCTTTCTCTACCCAGAAGTCCTGCCTATACTCTTCTGTCTAGTTATTGACCATTCAGCTTTTTATTACATCACAGCAATACATCTTCACACAGTGTACACAACATATCCCACAACATAAACCAGTCACCTGAGGTAGGTGACAAACACTGAAGTATCTGCAAAGAAAGAAGAAAAGCTTTGGGAACAGAACAGTAGGAGACAGAATTCATTAAGTCTCAGCTTCAAGTGGAGGTGTAGACAGAAATTTCTGTCCCACCCAGTCCTGCAGTGGTTCAGTCCCAAAGAAATACCCAGAGGTTTATATTAGCTCAGGCTTATTATTAACTAGCTCTTACAACTTCAATTAACCCATAATTCTTGTCTCTGTGTAAACACGTGGCTTGGTACCTTTTCTTAGTGCAGTATTCTCATCTTGCTTCCTCTGCATCTGGCTGGTGACTGTGTCTCTTCCAGAATTCTCTTAGTCTGGTTGCCCCACCTATATATACTTCCTGCGTGGCTACTAGCCAATCAATGTTTTGTTGTTGTTTGTTTGTTTGTTTTGTTTTTCTTTTTTTAATTAATTTATTTATTAAAGATTTCTGCCTCCTCCCCGCCACCGCCTCCCATTGTTTTGTTTTTCAATCAGTGTTTTATTAAACCAATACAAGTGACAAATCTGTACAGTATATAAAGCATTATCCCATAGCAGTTCCCCTTTTTTTCTTTTCAAAACAAGGCCCTGAATCTAATCTTTGTTTAACTTTTTTCCTGACCACTATAACAACTTGTAACCAACACACTAAACAAAGACAAACATCCATAACCCATCTTTGGAAATAAGAGTATAGTTTTCTAGGTTACTTCCTGCTAACTAGGGGTACTGGTAATCTTATGGGGACCTAAAGAAAATTTAGGATTATGTTTAAATCCTGACTGGAGTATTCTTTGAGACTGGATCATCTCAGCCAACAGTCTTGAGGTTGTTCTGGATGCAGAACTCAGAAGAAACTGCAACAGAGGTGCTCTGAAACATTGATCATCTGGGCCACCCGTTCCCATTGGAGATTTTTTCAGGGGGTCTTCCTTGATCAAACCTTATTTTTCTTAGCCAAGAATGAATCCACAGCAACTCATTTTCTATGGAAACAAAAGCAAAACCTCTTCTCCAAAGTAATGTATCTTTTTACTTAAAATTTGAAGCCAAGGAATTTTCAAAACACATAGGTTGGATTAATCCATCAGCTTTTATAATCAAATGTCTTTTAGCAGATGTTGCTCCTTCCTCAGCAATCAAACAATTCAAAGACAACAACATACAGTATTCAGACTCTGTATTTTTCATCTTTACATGGCTTTTTTTTTCTTACTTTTTTATTTTTTTGAATTTTGTTTTTGGAAGAGGGTTTCTCTGTGTGTCTTTGACTGTCCTGGATCTCGCTGTATAGGCCAGGCTGGCCTTGAACTCATAGGGATCCACCTGCCTCTGCCTCCCAAATGCTGGGATTAAAAGCATGTGCCACCACACCCAGTTACTCTATTTCTGTTTTTAAGGACTTTCTTTATCCTTTTTCTTTTCTCTCCCAAGCCTGTATATATTTTTAAACACACTGTAAACAGTTTAGAGGTTTTTGTTTTTGTTTTCCATTTGAGTCTGTCTTTACTATATATTCCTATGATGGAGGAAGGTCATTGGTTAAGTAATAAAGAAACTGCTTGGCCTCATAGGTAAAAACATAGGTGGGAGGAGTAAACAGAACAGAATGCTGGGAGGAAGAGGAAGTGAGCTCAGAGGCCATGCTCCCCTCTCCCGGGCAGACACGATGAAGCAAGCCGCCAGGTCAGACATGCTGAATCTTTCCTGGTAAGACCGTTGCTACACAGTTTATTAGAGATGGGTTGATCGTGATATCAGAATTAGCCAGTAAGGGCTAGAGCTAATGGGCCAAGCAGTGCTTAAATGAATACAATTTGTGTGTTGTTATTTCGGGTAAAGCTAGCCGGTGGCGGGAGCTGGGTGGCGGAATGCAACCCGCAGCTCCTACTACATTTCTATATTTTTCTGAGCACATGAGTCTTTAGTTTCCTAAACAGCATGGTTAAGATTAAAGTTGCTACTTTGGTGGCTGGCTCTGCCTCATTCCTTAACTTTTTGAGAATCTAGCTTCATGGTGGAGATTTTGGCAGGAGCCACATTTATTGTCAGAACTCTGTGCAGTTTTTAGGTGCATCCCACCACCAAGAAGCCTAATGCCAGCTGCTCATAAAACCATTAAATTGTTTGATGGCATAACCTCTTAAAACAGCTGTGAGGTTTTTGCCGCTAATGCTGAGTCAGGAAGACTCTCTTAAAAGAGCCACACCTCTGCTTGCCGATAGCAAACAGAGCTTATAGAGGAGGTGAGGGAGAGGGTTACCAAGAAGCTGCACTTGACTCTGTTCTTGTCTGTCTAGAATCCTTTTATTGTTTAAGCTTTCTCAGGCTTTATGTGGAAATTCTTGCCAAATGTTTGGGCACCATTTGTAGATAGAAGTTTCTGTTGGGCACCAAATGAAGCACAATTAATAAAACTCAGAGAAATTAGGATTCAACCTGAAGATCCGAAAAGCAAAGCAACCAGCCACTGGCTCTTACCTTGACCTCAGTCCCAAATGGTGATGCTGCCTCTGGGAATCTCAGAATGAGACTGTGGTAGAGAGCTGTTTGTTTCCTTTGGTTTTATAATCATTTCTAGGGCTGGGATTAAAGGTGTGCACCACTGATTAAAGGTGTGCACCAACCAGTTTCTATGGCAACTAGTGTGGCTACTGGGAATAAAGGTGTGTGTTACCATTACCTGTCTGTAAGGCTGACCAATGGGGCTGCTTTACTCTCAGGTTTTCAGGCAAGCTTCTACATGGGGCTTGCTCAGCTCCAGGTGAGGAGAGCAGAGAACCACTGTGAAAGGCACCGAGAAAGCCTCAGAAAATAAGAGTACATTATGCATCAGGAATTAAGAGTGAGTTCTGCATCAGGAATTAAGAGAATGAGGGTAGTGGAGGGAGAGGTGGTTCAAAGGACAAAAGCCACAAGACACAGAGGGGTGGAGAAGGAACAAGCCACTCCCCCCAAATCTCAACAGAATCAGAAAACAACACAGGGTTCCTCACTAAGCAGGTTTGCAGTCTAACTGGGTAGAGATCCTGGGATCTATAACACATACAGGTGCTGACTGGCATAGTGATTTGTTCCTGTCATCCTCACACTTGGGTTTAAGGCTAGCCTGGGATATTAACTGAATGCCACCCCAGTCTCAGATATAGAAGGGGGTCATGTCTAAAAACACTAAGCAAGTTTACAAACAAATATATTTGTGTTTGGAAAACCATCTCAGCATT